CAGGTATAGAAAATAAAAGAAGCCAATTTAGTTCCTATAGTTAAGTGGAAATTTCTCAGGCGATGTAAAGCATATAATCCAACATGCAAATCTTGTAAATTATGTCTCACCGAAAAATATGAAATCCTAAATTATAAAAATACTAATCTACTAAATAAAAGGAGTGAGATTGTTTCTAAGTGCAGACATAGAAACAGATTCCTCCTTTCTCAATTTGACACTGGCGATTAGAATAGATGTTTTTTCCATAATATTATTATTAATGTTGTTATTATTGTTGTTATTATTATTGCTATTATTATTGCTATTATTATTATTATTATTATTTATATTATTATTATAATCATTATTATTATTATTGCTATTATTTGTATTATAATTATTTGACGTCAGAACCCATTTCATTGATTTTTTTAAATTTTGTAATGGTTTTTTAATTGTATTTTTGAACGGTTTTTTCTTGATTTAAATATATGGCTGATGAGTGCCGAAAACGGCATGAAACTTTAAGTACCATAAAAAAGTTGTTTTTTCTCATCTAATCTTTTATATATATATATATATATATATATATATATATATATATATATATATATATATATATATATATATATATATATATATATATATATACACATGTTTATGCATATCTTAAATGGTTGTTTCTTAAATTATTAGTAAAACATGCCTATCAAATTCGTTATTGACCTCATCTAAAAGGATTTTCTATGAAAGCAGTATATAGATCTTACATTTACACATATAGATATTTTGAGTACATTTATATATAAAGTTTTTTTTACGCTAAGGAGGCAACTAATTTTTTTTTTTTCAATTATTTTTTTAAATTCTTTTAATTTTTTTAAAAATTGAATCATTTTTTTAACCCTAGACTCTAAAAAAAATAGAGCTGCAGAGAAAAACAGGTTGAGCACGGTACTTCCACAGGCCTAGAGTTGATTTGAATCCATAACCTCTTGGTTGAGCTGAGTTTTCAAATACCAGTTGATTAATACTTATATATTTCTTAAAAGCTTTTGATTTTTGATGGAAAATAAACTGCTTAATTTAAAGCTTAATGGATGTAAAAGTAACAGCTAAGATATCTTTTTTTTTTAAGAGCAGAAGAGAACAAGTAGTTTTAGTTGGTGTTTGTTCTGGCTGATTAAAGATAATTTGTACCACATGGATTGATTCTTGACCTACTATTGTTTACATTGCACCTCACTCTTAAAACAATCTGGGTGTTTTGTCAGTTTAAAGACTGGTCCAGGTTATGGGAGGTGTCACAAATAAAGCAAATGTAATTCTAGATGTGCTTTAAAAATTATTCTGGTCTTAGACTTGATCTATTTTGTTAGGATGTATACAACCTTTGTTCGATCATATTTAGAATATTGTACGTCAGTTCATCTTTTAAGCAAACAGAAATCTATTTGTTAAAACTTGAATAAATCATCTCAATATGCAAACTCTAGAACAAATAAAAAAAGAAAATTTAATAAAATGTTTTAAAGCAGTCAAAAGATTTAGTTAAGTTATTTGGCATTTTATCAATTCCTTATTATATTTCTCATAAATGCATAGTTATGCAAGCAATAGCAGAGACTTTGAATCATTATTGTTAAGGTATTTCACAGGAAGCCAATCAAGAAATAATAAAATTGATTTCATCAGTTGTTTTTTTTTTTATTGGAAATAATTGTATATAATTATGTTATATTATTTTAATTCTAAACCATTTATAAATTAAGTAGGAAAAACAGAAAAATATCAATTTAATATAAGTATAAATTATTTATAGTATTTCAAAAATTTTCAACTGTTGCTTTTAAATTTTAAAGAATAATATTTTTGATATTTGCAGAATGATTCTAAAAAAATCTTACATGGAACTCTTTCTCCAAAAAAATCTGCTCCAAGATGGTATGATTTATTTACTTGGAATTTTATAATTATTTTAATTAACTTGAAGTATTTGATGACAATTTTAATACCAGCTAGTTATTTTTAATATGATACTTAAGCTTTTTAATCTTAATTACTTATAAGTTGTCTAGGTAACATGTAATTCAATTTAACACTTATAGTTGTTATTATACTCATGAAAAGTCTATTTTATTGAAAAAAATCCTATCATTTTAGTGTTCCCAAACTTGTCATGGATTCTTTGCTTAATGATAATGACTTAGTAAGTTTTTAAATTAGAATGTCTAGCTTTGTCATTTGACTTAATTTAATTTTTTAATTATAGTTATTAAAATAGATAAGAAAGATTTATGAGACATAAATTGTATTAGGTAGGGGAGAGGGAGAGAATTGGTACGTTTGACAAGAAATTGAAAAAAAAAAAAGAATTCATAAAAAAATTTGAAACTAATATTTTTTGAATTTTTAGAATTTTCAAAATGTAGTTTTTTGTACCAATGCTCCCTTACATGGGGAGTATTGGTACACAGCAAGGTACAAGCATTGTTACACCATATGTTAACATTAATACTTAAAGAGAAATTTCATACTAAATAATTGTATATTCAAAGACAAAAAACTAAAATTTTAAATCCAACAACATATTATATAAACATACTTGAATTAAATAAATTAATAATCTACATATTTTCAATGTATAATAAAGTAAAATAATCCCGTAGTGAACCAAGTATGTATGTAAAATTTATTGTATAAAACTTTTGAGTGCTTAAAAGTATTTTGATGAAATTTAAAATTGTAAATTGCAGTTCTATTTAAGGTAAAGATGTTTTTTTAAAGTTAATTCTTTTCAACCAGAGGGTTACTGGGGGTATTTATCAAGTGTATTTTTGTTCCGGTGCTTTAATTGCTGTGGTTATTAGTTATTATTTATTGAAATGACAAAGTGTTATCATTAAATAAATATTAGCACCTAAAAAGTTAAAAATTTTTCCATTCTCGGTAAAAACTTATTTGGAATGCAAAAACTTTCACTTTTACACCACACACAAAAACATGCATAAATCTCAATTTAAGAGTTTAAAATACCAAAAAAAAATTTTCTACAAAAATGAATTTGTATTCTTCAAATATAAATATTCAAGAACCATTTCCTTAGCTAATTTTGTACTTAACAGGTATGAATTAATGACATTATTGTATTATTGCATTTTCTAATGAGATTTGCTATCAAAATGGTTCTTTTTGAGTTTCATCTGCCAGTGATCTGAAAAGTCATTGGCACGACTTTCTCATCTATTGGCACAATATTATTATTTACTGTGACCTTTCATTTAAGAAAAAACCTTCGTGTATTGCAGATCTAAAACATAGACTTCATGTATTGCAGATCTAAAACTTCATCTATTAGGCTGGCGCAGATGTATTTTTAATACATTGTTTCCAGTTTAGGATGTTGAACACTGGATCTTCTTGACTCAATTCATGGGTTTTGCTTTTGTCTCTGTTTTTATGACTAGGCAACTCATTCTATTATCTCCAAATGAGGGTACAGCTCTAAAACTCAGTTTTATGGTTCTGAGGCCGGCTGGTAGGCAGGTTTCCCGAACTCTGTGGTAGCTCTCAGAGAGGCTGATTCCATCAACAGCTGAAAAATATCAGAGTACTAACAGTGTCATGTTGCGCATGGATGGTGTCCCTGTTTGTACTTTTGGTGTGCATTGCCAAGGCCACATTAGAGCCCTTTGTTATGGCTTAAGGTTTATTAATGGAAATGAGGCGATTGCTTGGGCTATAAAGCAGTGTACTGAGTACTATCTATGTTTCGAGTCAAGTTCTTTAACAAATTTAAAAATGAATAAAGTAACAAAAACTATAAAACACAAAAAACTACAGTCATCACCAAGTTTGCTAAACCTATCATTCACCATTATTCGTGGTCTTCAAAGTAACTTTTCTTCTGTTGAGTCTTATCTCTTGCAAAGTTCACCAGACCTACTTGCTCTTTGTGAGACTAATTTGAGTTCAGCTGTCTAATCTTGTGATTTTAGTGTTGATGGTTATCTTCCTTTAATTCGTAAAGACTCCAATAGTCACATGCTTGGCCTAGGCATTTACATTCGTAAGAATTCACCCATTTGTCAGGAAACTAGGTTTGAATCCACAGACTACTCTTTTATGTGCTTTTGTTTAGCACCACTTCACTCTATCACCTTTCTCTTTGTTCTATATCACTCTCCCTCATCTCAAGACTGCACTCTTCTTGATGTTATTTCTGATTATATTGGCCAAGGCCTCATTCTTTATCCATCAGCCAATATTGTTGTTGTCGGTGACTTTAATGTTCATCACACTGAATGGCTTGGCTCTAGTGTCAGTGACTCTGCAGGCATTAAGGCCCACAACTTTTGTCTTTCTCAATCCCTAATTCAAATTGTCAACTTTCCAACTCGCTTTCCAGACAACTCGAATCATTTACCTTCTCTACTCGACTTATGTCTTGTTTCTGATCCTAGTCAGTGCTCAGTTTCTTCACACACCCTTAGGTGCTTCTGATCATGGTTTGGTCTCTCTAAAACTATTATCTCATTCTTCTTTACCATCAGAATCCCCCTATCATCGTACATCTTACAACTACCTTAAAGCTGACTGGGACTCTTTCCGTGATTTTCTTCGTGATGGGCTCTGGGTAGAAATATTTTGTCTCCCTGTTGACAAATGTGCTTTTTACATAACTTCGTGGATTCAGACTGGCATAGAATCCTTTATTCCCTCTCGACGATTCCAGGTCAAGCTTCACTTTTCTCCATGGTTTTCCTCACATTATGCTGCTGCAATTGCCAATTGAAACCATTACTTCCATATCTATCAGCAAAACAATTCTCCAGAAAATAGACGTCTGTTTATTACTGCTAGGAACCATTGTAAAAAGGTCTAATGCCAAAGCCCGCTATTCTCAGATCATGAAATCTCGTATTTCATCACAAAAATTAGGCTCTCGTGACTGGAGAATATTTAATAGTATCAATAATAAGGGCAAGTCTGTAATTCCACCTCTTTTGTACGGTTCAGACCTTGTCACCTCACCTTAAGACAAAGCTGAATTGTTTGCCAAGAACTTTTCATCAATATCATCTCTTGATGCCACTAGTTGCATTCTACCTGATATAGCCGTCAAACAGGTTGATCCATTGCTCAACATTTGCATCACTTCAGCTTCTGTTTCTAAAGTGATTTCCCGCTTAGACTCTTCTACAGCTTGAGGCCCGGACAACATACCTGTTATAGTTTTGCAGAAGTGTTCTCTGGAGCTGTTGTCTATCCTTTCAAAACTATTCAACAAGTGCTTATCAGAGTCTTGTTTTCCAGCCTGCTGGAAAGCAGCATCTGTTATCCCTATTTTTAAAAATTCTGGAGAGCGATCAGATTCGTCTAACTACCGTCCCATTAGTCTTCTTCCTATCATAAGCAAGGTTTTTGAATCTTTAATTAACAAACACTTAATCTCTCATCTTAAATCTCATAACCTACTTTCTGATCATCAATATGGATTTCGATCTTCTCGTTCTACGGCTGATTTGCTATCAGTAATAACCGATAGGTTTTATCGCGCATTAGATAAAGGTGGAGAGGTTAAGGTCATTGCTCTTGACATTTCTAAAGCGTTTGATAAAGTTTGGCATGCTGGTCTTCTCCATAAGCTTTCTTCTTACGGTGTATCTGGAAACATCTTTAAGATTATTGAATCTTTCCTTTCCAATCATAGTATAAAAGTTGTCCTTGATGGACAGCACTCTTCTTCTTATTCTGTAACCTCAGGGGTTCCTCAAGGTTCAATCTTTGGTCCTATACTCTTTTTAATTTACATCACCGATCTTCCAGATATTCTCACATCTAAGGTGGCATTGTTTGCTGATGATACTACCATTTATTCTTGTCACGATAGGAAGCCAACTCCCTCTAATTGCTTGCAGGGGGCATCTGAGCTTGAAAAGGATCTCACTTCTGTTACAGCATGGGGCTCACAGTGGCTGGTGAACTTTAATTCAGATAAAACTCAATTTTTTTCGGTAAATCGTTATCGCAATAGTTTAGACCTTCCTATATTTATGTACGGTAATGTACTCGATGAGTCTCCTACCCTTCATCTTCTAAGATTAACTCTTACTTCTGATCTTTCTTGGAAACCTTGTATCAAATCCGTTGCAAAATTAGCATCTGCTAAAGTTGCATCTCTTTATCAAGCTCGTCACTTTCTTACTCTGGATTCTATTCTCTATCTCTATAAATCTCAAATCCGGCCTTGTATGGAATTCTGTTGCCATATCTGGGGCGGATCTTCTAATGATGCCCTTTCTCTTTTAGACAAGGTGCAAAAGTGCATTGTAAACATAGTTGGACCTGCTCTTGCAGCCAACCTTCAACCTCTGTCACATCGTCGTAATGTTGCTTCTCTTTCTCTTTTCTACAAATACTATAATGGGCACTGCTCGAAAGAGCTAGCGTCTCTTGTGCCATCTACTAAAACTCATTCTCGTGTTACTCGTCATTCAATTAAGTCTCATCCTTTTTCTGTTACTCTTCCTAAGTGCTCCAAAAACTCTTATTCGTCTAGTTTTTTTCCTCGAACATCAGTTCTTTGGAATTCGCTTCCTTCATCTTGCTTTCCTGATTCGTATAATTTGCGATCTTTTAAGTTGTCTGTCAATTGTTATCTTGCTCTACAATCTTCATCTTTTCTCTTCCAGTAACTTCCAACTCTAATTAGTGGTTGCTTGCAGCCTTGTTGGAAACAAAGATAATTAAAAAAAAAAAAAAAAAGACAGAGATTATCATATATTGTGATGATTTTCCTTTATGCTTTTTACTATATCTAGTATGATTACTTGGGTGCATCAAATGCCTTTATTTTTATTTATCACAAGCAACTCTGTTAAATTTTTCCAAAATATAAATGGATTTAGAGGGACCAGTGTTTTTTGCCTCTATAATAATGCTTTTACAGTAATCATCAAGTTAAACTTCATGTTGCTTAAACTTTATAAATTGAATGTTAAACATATTGAATGAGGTTTTTATGTTGAAACATAAACCTCTTAAATGATAAAATGTCTGTTTCAAATAAACTAATTGATATCTGGTTTTGAAAACATAGTTTTCTGTGTCTCACTAACTTTTTGAAATATTTTCATGTTAAATTATTTTTAACATTTATACCAAGTTTTAATACATGCAAAACATAATTTTGCATGTCATTTTAATATTTTTATTTAAATACATTAGAATAATCAGTTTTATTAAAAACAATTAAAAACAATTTGTTAATAAAAATTGTGTATGAAGACTTTAAAAGATCTCTTCCTAGAATCTACAGAATCTCCTATCAACTGTTAAATGCTAAAAGCCAACATGTATATATAGAAAAGCACTGAACTTTTTTTCAGAGTAGCCATTGTGTTAGGCCAGAATTACATGTTGTGTAGCACTTATAAGGGTTCAACTTATCCTGGACATCAAGTTTGATGCCAAAAGTAAATTTGATATGCAGTTATGAGTATCTTAGCTAAATTCTTTCTTTGCTTTTTTGTAGTAAACTTTCCACAAATGTAACAAAAATTGTATTCGTTCTTTTCATTTTGATTAATTAATAAAAAAACAATATTGAAATTTTTTATTTATCTGAAAGAAAAACAGCATTACATACATATTAACAAGCAGTCTTATGATAAAAAAATTTTTTTTTTTAAATTTTGTTGTTGTTGTTGACCAGTATTATTTATTTTTCCAAAATTATTAATGATTAGTTTGTTTTGCAATAATTCGTTGGTTACATTATTATAATGAATATTAAAAGAAAGTTTTTAATTCAGAATATGTAATTATATGTTTGTTGTTAATACTTGTATTTTGAAAATTGATTTTTAGACATATACCAAAGTTCATAAAGATAGGTATGAATGTTTAACATATGAATAAATAAAGATGTGATGATGATCATGACTTCAATATAAACACCATTCTAGGCCTTTTTTTTTGCTTCTTAGGTTTTTATTAAATTAAAATTTATTATATTAAAAATGTTTTAAATACTTTTTGTCTTTTAAGTTATCTAGAATGATTTTTTTGCTGTTAAAATAGCATATTCTATCTCTTTTTTTTTTTTTTGTCGAACCAATTCTATAAATTGTTTACATATCTTAATTAAACTATTTCTTGTTGAAAATGTAAATAAATAAAATATTTTAGTTTTGTGAAAGACACATCTGTTAGTCACCATGGAGGCTGGCAGGTATACTTTCAAAAGATTTTAATATATAATATGCTTGTATTAATTTTGAGTATAAAGATTATGGCAAATTTGTAGTAAATTTAATGTTTTAATTGTATTTAATCATTTGTAAAAAATTTTTTACTTTGTTTTTCTCTTAAAGGTTAACCAAACTATTCAAACAAAAAATTCACTTTCAAAGCATGCTGATGTTCCTGATCTTGAGTTAAATTTATCTCATAGCAACGATGCATTAGCAAGCCTTTCCATAGTATTTGAATTTTTTATTTTATTGTATAAACTTATATTTTTTAACTTTATCTTATTATTTTATCTTTCTGTTTCTTTAATCTTATTATTTTAATCAACCTGTTTCTTTGCCAGCTTGGCCACAGCTCTTCTAAAATCCTCTATTATCCTCTAAAAAGTTAAAAGTGTGATCAAATCTCCTCTTTAACTCTTCTTTTTTTTTTCAGGTTTATAATCATTTTTTTAATTGTATAAAATAATGTTGTTGTTGTTTAGCAAATTATTATATTAATTACAATAGTTAAATTTTTGAACATTAAGAAGTTACTTTTACCAAAATCGAAGCAACCTGGAACCGGAAAGCCTGGACAAAACACCATTTTCTATTGTTTTGCTAAAGCTGTGGAGATCCCACTATTCCACTGAAACTTAAATCTTTTGAGGAAATTGCAGCATTATTAAATGGGTTCTTAATCACTTTTCAAACTGACAATCCAATGGCTCCGTTTCTTACTAGACTATGTCCTTCATAATTTTTGCAGCCACTTTTTGAAAAAATATATTTTAGAAAAGGCAAACTCTATATATAAGTTGTTCAAAATAATTTTACTGATAAAGTAAATTAAGTGTTATTAGAGTCAGTTGATCTTGGTATTACTATAAATCATGATATCAAAGTTTTGACAAAAAAAAAAAAAAGAAGTTGAGCGATAATCATTTATGCAATCTTCAGTCAGATGCTTTACATTTCTTGTCTAGTTTATGCATGCATTTTACAGTTCTTGTCTAGTTTATGCATGCATTTTACAGTTCTTGTCTAGTTTATGCATGCATTTTACAGTTCTTGTCTAGTTTATGCATGCATTTTACAGAAAAATTTATATTGAGAAATAATCTTATTTAAAGTATTTCTCCTGTAAATGTTTGTCTCCTAAAGTTATGTTTGGACCAGCTGAGTTGTCAACAACTTTATTAGAAAAAATGCTTGAAATTCTTGTTGGTTTAAAAAAACTAACATCTTAAATTGCGATGAAAGCCAAACAAGAGTATTCAAAATTTGTATCAATTGTAGTTAAAGCTAATACAGAACTATTTAGAGAATTTAAAGAATCTAAAGATCAATTGGACTCATTTATTTTTAATTTATTTTCATTTATTTATTTGGAAGCACATTGATTCAGATCCTAACTATAAATGGCTTCCCAAATAATTTTAGTTTTATCTCATGGTCAGGCTACTGTTGAGTGAGGATATACTAAAAACAAAATGCTTCTTGTTTAAAATCTTGACATGGAAAGTCTTATTTTTCAGGGATTAATTTACGACTATATGAAAAGAAAAAACTTTGAACCTCACAGTTTTCTAATTTCAAAGATTTTTTTAACTTATGTCAAATTTTCTTGTCAAAAATATCAATAATCACTTGTTCATAAATATATTTTATATAATTTCATCATTTCTTGATGGTAGTATAATTTTAAAATACCCACTCCTGGTCACTCCTGGTCTGCAAAACTGGTTAACGTCTGAAAGGGTATTGGATTGTAAAGAATTGCTTTAGCAAATCCAAGACATTTAACATGAAAAATAATATTAATGAAACATCTGAAAACCACGAAGTGTGGAAACACGGGCGTTAAACCTATAATAGTAAAATAAAAAATCTCTATTTTTTTTCAAAGTTTGGTAGTTATGCAGAAAAAATCCTCTAAATTAGATGCCAAATCTTCTCTAATATCCTCTTTTTTTATTATAAATATTTTGTGGTCACTCTGTTTGCATAGCAGCCTTGTTTAGCAAGATCTGTGTTTTGAAGATTAGGATTGAGTTAGAGTTTAGAATAAAATTAAAAATAAAAAGTAACATCCTCAATTGCAGTAGATTCCTATGGAGTCTTGTGGGGGTGAATTTAAAAATAGTAATAAAAACAAATTATTAAAAGTTCAATAAAAAAATGTAGTACAGAACAGTATGAGGTGCGTATTGCAAATGTCTTGAAAAAAAAAAACAATTTTGTGTTCATTTAAAATAAGCAAATATTATAAAGTATATTTGTAGATTGTTGTAGAGATCAACTAGTAAAATTGGTTGATTAACATCAGAAACCAATAAATAAAAAAAATATATTTACAAATAATACTTTTGTAAAAAATAAGTTTATTAATTTTTCACGCTAATGAAATTGAATGAGAAAACTAAGCTACTAGGCATTCCTGATATTGTTTTAGGTGTTTAAAATAATTGAAACAATTTGTTTTATAAGAACAAAATGTTTATTGCATAATGTAAAAAACTAAATCCTTTTACTGTAGGATGATAAAGAAACAATTATCTTTGATGTTATTATTATCTTTGATTCTTCAAAAAGAGATGTTTGAACTTTTCATTCAAAAATTTTTTTTCAGTTTATTTGAATTGTAAACAAGATATTGGATTATATAATTATTTTTGATAGTAAATTTAGACATAATTGTAGATTAAATATTAGACATCTAGGGGACGTTGGATTAGCCATTTCCTTAGTAATGGAAGAGGAAAAAAATAACAATGTAATCAACATAATAATTGAATTTTTTTTATTAACAATTGACTTTTCATCAATTTAGTTTATCAATTTGAATTACTAACACTTGACATTTCATCAATTTGATGCTAAATCTGTTTTCTTTGTCCCTTGCATACTTCTTTAGTCCACAGTGTTTGACAGGAACAAATCCTGTCTCTTTATCTTTTTGCTTGATTTGCCAATTAGTTCATTAACAAGTTTAACGGGCCTCTCTGATCCTCTCTGTATCTCTTTATCTATCACATTTAGTAAAGCAGCTTTTTTAGCTGTTTTTCTTATTCTTTATTAATATTTTCAACTTGAGATAGGGCAGCACTTGCTGATACTACTTTAAGGAATCACTGCATGTAAAAAATGCTAATTAATATAGCCATATCATGGATCTCTTTTATACTCCCCTCTAACAATTCTGGAATGGAATGGTTTCCTATAGTAAATACATTTTCAGGCAGTATAATGCTTTTGTTGCAAAATTTGCACGATACAATAGATCAGAAATACAAAACTTGAATCTCTTATTTTGAAGAAATTATCATCAAAAATTTTTTGTTTATCATCCTAAAATTGTGTTCTTATAAAACAGATTGCTTAAATTATTTTTAACACCTGACTCAATATCAGAAATGGCTAATAACTTAGATTCTCATTCAATTTCATTCATATAGCTAACTTGTTTTTTTGTAACTTTTATCTGTATACTCTTTTAATTACTTTCCATCAAAGTAAAACAAAATCAACTTAAGTGCAGAATGTATATTTTATATATTTTAATGTTTTGAAGTTTTTTTATATTATCTTATTATCTTATATACTATCTAGTTATTTTAGCTTCTGAACTCTCTTTGAACTTCTGAACTTTGCATATTAAAATGTGTATATAAAAGAATGTGTATAATAAGTTTACAAAAATTAAAAAATCTTTTTCTTTAATTTGGAATTCATCTTTAATTTAACTAAAAAAAAATTTAGGTAGAGTGGCTAATTATTTTTTTTATAACAATCACTGTGAGAATTTAAAGAAAAAAAAGTTTAAATTTATTAATGTTTAAGGGTATCATGGTGTTACAAATGGTTGAAAATAAGTGCAAAAAAAAGAACTTTATGATTCATGTATTGTTATTAAGCTTTTTTTTTTTAAAGTCTCATATATAAAGTTAAGGCTCTGTATACTTAATTAACTTCTACTCTAGTCAAAACTATTTTACTGTACCTTGCTCATGAGGCTACTCTATTATTGTTCTTATGCAAAAACTAGCTATTTTAGTGTACCTTGCTCATGAGGCTACCCCATTATTGTTCTTATGCAAAAACTAGCTATTTTACTGTACCTTGCTCATGAGGCTACCCCATTATTGTTCTTATGCAAAAAGCATAGTTAAAATATTTAAAATTTTATTTTGTTTGTTATAGAAATCTAAAATATCAAATTGGTATTTGATGCTGTATATCCAGAATACCTTTAATACGCCACATTATAATTCACCTATAACATGCTCGAACATATATTACGTTATATTAAAATTTATTTCAAAAGATTAAAATAACTGAAAGATTCAAATATTAGGTCAGTGGAATAAAAAAAATATTTGTTTTTACTCAGTTTTTTTGGAGTAATTGCTCAGCTTTACACAAATAAAAACTTGAGCAAAATTGTTAAAATTTTTATTAACGTAAAACTGAGCAATTACTCCAAAAACTCTGAGTAAAAGCAATTGCTTTTTTATATTTACCCAGCCTATGAGTTGGCTACAAAGCATTTAACAAAAAAAAATGTTTACTGTTTATATTTACCCAGCCTATGAGTTGGCTACAAAGCATTTAACAAAGAAAAATGTTTACTGTTTATATTTACCCAGCCTATGAGTTGGCTACAAAGCATTTAACAAAGAAAAATGTTTACTGTTTATGGCATTAACTTTTTAAATTGTGAAAATCTTATTTTAAAAGTTATGATTATTTTTTTTTAATTCTTAAAGTTTTAATTGATTATGACAAATAAAGCTTGTAAACAAGTAAAAATTAAAATGATAAATAAAAGCATTATAAGAGTGTTTAAAAGACATATACAGAGGCTGCAAAAAAAAATTGTTAAAAAGTTTTCTAGATTTATTCATTTAGAGTTATTTTTTAAACACTGCATTTATAATTATAAAAAAATAATATAAATAAAAATTATGTAGCTTGAAGCTACATAAAAAAAGAACATATTAATAAGAAATAAGTATTTCATTCTTATTTTAGGCTGCTAAAAAAGTAAAAGATGATATGTCAAATGATCGCAAAAATCAACTTGTAAGAAAAAGTATAGTAATCCAAGAAAGAATTAAATATTTTTTGTTTTTATTGTTTTGTTGTTATTGTTTTTTTGTTTTTTTATGTGTTATTAATTCAATAATAATTTTGGTTGCAGAAAGATGAGAAGGAAAGAAAAATCTGGCAGAGTAGTTTAAACTTTGTAGACAAAGCTGTGTTCAATGATCAACTTGATAGATTCAAGATTGAAGAAGAAAAACCATCTATAGAATTTCCAAAGTTTGGGTTTAATAACAAATTTGATCCACGACAAAAGAGACAGCAAGATATTTATCAATCACGGTTTATTTTCTTATACGGTTTTTTATTTCTTCTATTTTTATTTAATTAACGTTATATTAAATATATTATAATTTTTACAATAGGTCGATTTTACAAAATTCAGAAAATAGTGATGTTTTGAACCGGTTAAGTTTCAGCGCTAGAATAATATCTACAGATGGTCAAAATTCTCGAAGAGAAATTAATGGTGTGTTCTTTGTATCAGATAAGTCCCTCACAATGTATGAGTTTAGACAATTTGGTAATAGGTATATAATTCTTTTTTCAATCAATTTGGTAGGTTTATTGTTACAGTAATGTAACATATATAAATATTACAGTAAGTAATATAACATTTATAGGTATTACAACATTATAATACGTTATATGACATTGCATAAACTTCTTTTGCATAAGTTTCATTTTAAGAAATAAAAATGAGTTTACTTTGTATGATTTTCTAAGTGTATTTTTGTTATATAGATCAAATGCACTTCCCTTTATACAGCGTGGTTGTTATCATCATTTAAAAGGTTATTACAAAGGTGAAATGTACTGTCTTTTTGATATATGCCCTGGTAATGATCTTTTGTTTGAAACATCTCAACATGCAACATTACCTGACTCAATGAAAAAAAAGGCTTTTGCTGTTTTTCGTATAACAGATGTTGATGCAGCATGCAAAAATAAATATTTGTATGATGGTAAAAAAAGAGATGAAGTTGAACAAATTATGACAGCATATAAAATGAAATTTCATGAAGAGAAGAAAATTGTTTCTAAAATTGCTTGTATGATTTTTTTTTCATTATTTTTTGTTTTTTAAAATAATCTTATTAATTTTTCAGATTGATATATTTTAACAAGTTGTATTTATTTACAAATTATACTTTATTTATGAAGCAAACATCTGTAAACAGTTAAAAACACGTGCCACTAAAACTCTAGTTAATATATACCATCATTTTAAGTTGGTAGACAAGCAACATGTGGGTCTTTTAAATCATGATGAAGTGAAAACAGTTTTATCTAAATACAGAATTATTATAGATGATGAGGTATGCAATCTTTTCGTATCAGTTTTGTATTTATGGGTTATTTTTTTACTTTGTTAATGGGTCATTTCCTGTTATTCTATTCAGCCCCATTCTTTTTACTTATTTTAGCATCAATATAATAAATTCTAAAACAAGTAAGCAAATGACTTAATATTTTGGAATGAAGTTTTAGAGGTTTCATAAAATTATAAATTTTTGTTCAATCCAAAATTCAGATGTGTGATAATTGCAGCATTCTTTACTTAATAAACCCTTTAAAAATTAGAATAACACAGCATCACAGGTTATGACTAAAAATAATCAATCATAGATTATAAATAAAAATAATCACAGGTTATGAATAAAATTAAATCAATCAACCTCACATTTGAACTATAAAAATTTTGATTTGAGATTTATAAAAATCCTATTTATTTACTTTTGCTTAATTTTGTATATATGATTATATATATTTGATTTTGAAAAATTAAAATCATTTGATATAATCTTGTACATTTAATGTTCATTAACTTAATAATGATTTTGTTGTGTACATCTTTTTAAATTTGGAGAAGATTGTTAACAAGAATTAAGATAATAACAACATGGAATTACCATAAGTTTAAACTAGTTAACATGTTTTAGTTATTGTTTTATATTTTAGCAATTTGAAGAGATCTGGGCATTAATTGACAAATACCAAGATAACAGAATAGATTTTTTAGACTTTTCAAGAAGTTTTATTGGTGAAATGTCAGAAATAAGAAAGTTTTGGGTTCGAAAAGCCTTTTCTAAAATTGATGCTAATCGTACTGGATGTGGAAAATTAAGTGACATCCGAAAATTTTATTTAGCTAAGCAGACATCTGTGCTAAAAGGTAATTTTATTTCTCTTTTATTCTTACTTTATCTTTTTTTTAACAAACTGAATTGTGTTATAACAAAGTAATCAATTATATAATAAATTGTAAAAGAAGACACAATGCATGAAATTATTTAATGAATAGTAACAAAAGACACATAAACATGGAATTACTGATAGGTTCTAAAAAATATTGCCTAAAAAATTTTGGTACTGGATTTTTAGTTTTTATATGGACATAACTTTATAAAATTTTCAAAAACATTTAGCAATGTTCAAGAAAGTTATTTTTACTTTAGTAATTTCAATGAAATTCTGAAAACCCAAAAGTTTGTTGGTAAAAAAGTGAAATTTTTATTACATCAGATGTACAAATTTATATTATTTGTCCATTTTAGTATTTTTAACAAAGTTTTAAAAACCAGAAAATGGTTGCTTTTACAATAAAGGTTCTGTGTTTTCAAAACTTAGATTCAAATTAGTTTTCTTGTACCAAAATTGTATAAACCAGCTAGATCTTTCTGTTAAAACAAAAGTTCTTGATATTTTGCCAATCATAAAGTTGCTTGTGGAATTCATAGAGTAGCACCTATTTTTTTGGATTTGCTAACAGATTAATAGTTATTGTTAGTTAAAATAACTGGTGTTATTTGAAGGCTAATGTCTGGTCAAACAAGCCTAACATCTACTGGCCACCAATCCATGTAGGAATGTGATACATTTGACCACTAAATTTAAACTTAGTGGTTAATACACATATAAATATATGAAACTAATTTTTTATCAAAAACAGAAAAGAACTTTTTAAATTAAATTTTTTTTAGCAAACTTGTTATTTTATGTGTAATCCTCTATATTTGGTAATATAACAACTGGCCATGCTTTTTCATATAATTTTTTTATATATAGTAATTCTACTTGACATATATTTTGTTGTCTTAAATACAGGAATTTAGATCTTTACTACAAAACAACTGTCTTTAATTGGAATAAAGAAGCTTTTAGGCAATAAAGTTACATTCAAGTTGAAAACTGATTACTTTGTAGTTGTTTTTAATTTTTAATTTATTTATTTTTTATAATTTTTTTGTTTATTTACTTTTTATTTAAAAATATATTATATTATATATTTTTTATTACTTTTATAGTTTTTTTAATGATAATATTAAAAGCATAAATCATCATTTGTGTTATCACTTTGGATATTTGCTAAATTTCTTGAGCAATACTATTGGGTATTTATTATTTTAAAAAAAAAAATTTCTCTCAACAAGCAACCACGACTTGAGTGGGAAGTATTGATCAAGACACCTCTAAAAGTTATAAGTGTATAACTAAGTCAATGTTTGTTGCTTCATTTGAAAAAATCTTTATTAATCCTTAAGGCAGAAAATTTCTGTTGACTGGCCTGGCACTTCTTTTTCATTTATTACACTAGCATAGATATAAATCTGTTGCTTCCTTACTTACCTAAAATAATGAAAACACTTTCATTATGTCCTTAGTAGTGGCTATGCAAGTCTCTTTTTTATCACCTAATGATGGTACAACTCTAAAACTCAGTATAATTTTTTTTGAGGTCAGCTGGTAGTAAAGCTTCCATACTACTATCTGGCCTGTCCTCTTAATTATGCAAGTCTGTCCTCCTAATTATGCAATAGTCGATTAGTTATAGAACACTCTGGTTACAATCAAAAGGTTCCAGGTTCAAACCTGAAACCCCTTGAAAGTACAATCCTGAAACCTCTTGAAAGTACCTTTTAAAAGTACCAAGCTCAACATGTTCCTCATATAGCGACTTTATTTAATAAGGTTTTTATTTTGGAGTTTAGAATTGAGAGTTGCAAACAAAATAAGGAAAAATAAATAAATGATTAGCCTCCTTGACTCTATTGGCCCTCTATGGATTCTTGTTGATATGAGTTGGTGATATGAGAGGTGAAAAAAATTACCTTCTTTAACACTAGACATCTGTCCAGCATTAATTGTAACTATTTAATTAACATTCCTTCTAATCTGATCACTTGAGTATTTTTGGAATATTGTTAAAAATACTAAAATGGAGATTTTACTTTATATTACCAACTTTCTTGGTAATATAAAGTGAAAGGGAAAATGATTTAATTTTTGTCTAATTTAATCATAATCAAATTCAACTAAACTACATAGTTACACCAACAAATAAACACAATTAAAACTAAACCATTTAAACTAAATATAATTACACCAAAACTTGACTGTAGTGATTTTATTATAAAGCATTTTATTTATATTACTTGTTTGAGACATTTTTTATAGCAAATCAAATAGTGGCTAGCTAACAACACTTAAAAGTCAGTGATTTGCCATGACGGTTGTTAATTTAATCTAGCTAGGGTCTAATTGGTGACACCTATTGCTATTGTAGCAATAAACTACAATACTTGTGCATGTCAAAACAATTTTTTACAACCGGATGACATGACACATCTCTCTGTGTGTTAACAATGGTCTAGCTATATGAACTGAAAAGTTTAATAATATGATACAGAATTTGTATTATATATATAAAACATTTTTAGCAGTGGTTTGGAGTTGTAAAAAAAAGTAACGACTCCGACTCTGACTCCAGTTGTTGAAATTTTTTGAGTACAACTCCAACTCCAACTCCAAAGCAAAATTTTTTTGGACAAATTTATGAAATGTTCTTTGAGGTTTAGTATAAATATAAGATTAATTAAATGTTTTATACTTACAATACCAAGAAGTTTTACTATTGGAGTCAGAGTCACAATTTTGTTTAGCGACTCCGACTCCGCTAAAAATGTTGCAACTCTGCAACTCCGATTCCGACTACACAGCCCTGGTTTTTAGGCATTTTATTGCCAGTTCTGCAAATAGTAATATAGCCATTTGTGTGATTTCTTAAATAGTTTGTTTATCTAGTTTATTCAACTAACAGAATTGACAACCATGTATACAATTGCCATGTGTATGCCAATTATTAAATAATAAAACTTTAGAATGATTTTACCAGCTTTTTGCCTTTCTGAAAATTAAAAATAAAAAAAAATTTATTTTACAGATCAGAATTAAATTTTTTTTATTGTGATACTATCAAGACTACCAGTTAAGGTTTACAAGCTCATCCTTACCCACATTTAAGTTATGGGTAGTTATGGGTTTTATATCAGAGTTTTCTTTCTCCTAGGTATGATAATAAAAACTGATAGAAATAGAATGCTTATGGTATAAAATATGTTTATTATAAACATTTTTAGGTTTAACTAACACTTTTAAATAATATTTTTAGCTAACATTTTTTAGTAATATTTTTAGCTAACATTTTTAACTTAATAAGTTAAAAATGTTAGTTAAAATTATAAGTTATATTTTTAACTAACATTTTTAACTTATATTTTTAGCTAACATTTTTAACTTATATTTTTAGCTAACATTTTTAAGTAATATTTTAGAATCAGATTTAGTAGATGAATTAACTCAAGGTTCCCAAGACTACAAACCTCCTAAAGATTACAACAATGAATACATTACATACACGGTTTGATTTTTTAAAATCTTTTATTAGTAAAGTTAAATGTGTGCAAACCATAAAATAGTGAATGACTGTTACTGATGATTTTTTCATGTAAATAGTTTTCCAGCTCTCATACTCATACAGTACTCTTTTAATATTGCAATATTTAAGATGTAATATAAAGTATTTAAATTAAATTTTATTGTAAGGTTATAAAAAGACATTATAAAATGTAAGTCGAGATATAACAAAATCTAGTTGATCAAAAAAAATTTTCATTGCCGTAAAATGGGGTGAATAAAAACAATTTTGTTTTGTTTTTTCGAAATTTTTTTTTAACTTTTAATATTTTTCCTAAATTTTTGTTTAAAAATTTTGTAACCAATTAGTACTTATAATAATATTATTATTAACCTAGGATTTACATTTTCAGTGTATAGTTTGCATTTTAAAATAAATACACCATATGTATTTGTTTATCTCTTGAGTGGTGATAAGCTGTTTATTAACCATATATGTTGTGAATAAACGGTTGATGAGACAATATCAAACAAGTTTTTTTTAAGTATTAATACTATTAAAATGATGAATGTATCGTTTTAATGAATGTGTTTTAATTTTCAATTAATGAAAAATGCCAAAATTTTTAAAATTTTATCCATATAGTTCTGAAATTTTCTTTGATATCTTTTTAAAAAAGGGATCACAAAATATTTGGACCTGGTAAATTGTTATTAAATCTTGGGCATACAATCTTGTTTTTATCTATATAAGTTTCAATAACATCCATAATTTAAATGGTTTCAATGTGAGAAGAAAGGGGGAAGGGGGGGAATAGTAATGTTTGCTTAAATGATCTCCTCTAAATCTTTTTTTTTAAAGTTATCAGCTTGCAATTCATAGCAACTTCCACTAATGGTCCACTAAGTAGCTGATGAACAAAATTCCAATGAACCATTCAAATTGCCTATATAGGTCCGCTGCAAATCCGTTAAAACAATGTTTGCTGGGTAAGCTCTTACTATACTGCTTGGTTTGCGTATTTTTCTACATTATATGGATTATGCTATGATCTCGCTAAAAAATCTAATAATTCTAGATCAAATTCATTCTATCGTTGTACTTCTTACACTACCTTGAAACTGACTGGGATTCTTTTTATGATTTTCTTCGTGACAGTCCATGGGCTTAAACTTCTGTGTTTTTTCTCAAAAGTTAGGTTTAAGATGTTAGTTTAAGAAACTTTTCTCAGAAGTTAGGTTTAAGATGTTTAAGAAACTTTGAAAATGTTTAACAGTGTCATTATCAAAGGCAAGTCAAACATTCCACTTCTCAAAAAAAGAATTTAATCTTATTACCTTTTCCAAGAATAAGTCAGAACCATTTGCAAAGAACTTTTCCTCCAATTCATCTCTTAAATTTCCTCTAATTTAATGAGATTTTCCTTTAATTCATCTCTTAAACTCCCTGTCATCCTAAATAAGCTGCTTAATTGACTATAAGACATCCAAATCACTCCTACTTCCATTAAGTTATTTCCAAACAGCTTGTGGTCCGGACAACATTTCTGCCATAGACTTACAAATGTGTTTTCAAAATCTGTCTTCATTAACTATTCAACAAGTTCTCAACTGAATCTTGTTGTCCTACCTACTAGAAAATGGAAAATTTGTAGGTTCGATTTTGAAAAACATCTTTTAGTGATCTTCTCATATATTGTATTTATATATTTATATATTCATGAATACTATTTGGTATTATATTTATATTATATTACTATTTGTTATTATTAAAAGTATCATCCAACCTAAGATATTATAAATCAATTTAATATTATTTAATATAAATATACGCATTATTCTATTGCTATTTACTATTTTCATAACAAATTTTAGCAATATTTTTGGTAAAAAGCAACACAGGTATGACTTTAAATTTAAAAAGAAATCATAACGCAAAGAGTTCGCTATATCTCCAAAAAATTAAAAATAATTTTTAACGATGAAAATTTTAAAATTTGAATAAATATAATGATTTTTTTACCAGCAGTTTGATTTTCACATTTTTAAAAACATTTTCACTTTTTTGTTAGGTTTTTTTAATATTTAAAAATTATATAAATAAATAAATATATATATATAAATATATATATATATATATATATATATATATATATATATATATATATATATATATATATATATATATATATATATATATATATATATATATATATGTATATATATATATGTATATATATATATATATATATATATATATATATATGTATGTATATATATGTATATATATATATATATGTATATATATATATATATATATATATATATATATATATATATATATATATATATATATATATATATATATATATATATATATATATATATATATATATATATATATATATATATATATATGTATATAATAAGATACATATTTTTACATATCATTCGTTTTGTGCTAAAAAAAATTTTAAAAAAATCCCTAACTCCCTTCCCTCCTCCTCCCAACCATGCTCTCAAACCCGTAAGTATGAAAATTAATAAAATAAATAATTATCTTAATAATTGCCATATTAAAATAGTATTATTTGATAATAATTATAAATTAATAATTAATTAAATGACCAGTCTATTGATCAATACTGTATATCAAAATATATTTGATATACTGGACGCAAAAAGTCACGTAAATTGACCTTTAAAATTTAATAACGCGTAAGTTAAAGTGGTTAAAACTTAATTTCGATATCAGAAATGGATTTTATGACTCCAAAAAATTATGTTTAAATTATATTATTCTAGTATTCTTCTGGTCCACTGTGCATTCTTTTTCTTAACTCGTTGTTTTGAGTCACCCCATTTCACGGTACATATGGTTATTAAATAGGTATAAATGGTTTGAACCCATCCATCCAGTCGGCGTGACGTCACATCGTATTAAAAAGCATTGTTTTAAAATTATCCATCTCGAATTGGGGAAAACAAACTAAAAAATCAGTAGCGGTTTGTTGAGTTATTTTTTTAAAAAAATCCTTAAAAGTTGTTGCGCAGTAGGTTGCACTAACAAATTAAAAAATATATAAAAACTTAAGTCTTCCAAAAGATGAATTACTTAAAAGAAAGTGGTTGAATACGATAAATCGTGCTGTAGATAGTATTGCATGTAGCAAGTAAAATCTTGTAATGTTTATGTTTGTTCGGCACTCTTTATGACTGGTGGGTTACTTTTAATTTGCATCTTAATTTAGTATTGGTAAATATTAAAATATCAGTACTTTTTGTAACCTAAAATAACCAAAATAAAACGTAGACAGCAAAGTAAGTCATCAGAGATCTAAAAGTTTGTAAAAATAAAGTAAAATCACCTAAAAGACTTATATTTTGCAGACATCTATTCGCTTTTGCTTTTAATTAACTTTTGAAATAATTGTTGAATATAAATTTATTGTTAATAATGTTTTCTTGACTTTTCGTATAAGAAAGTATAGTTTGTTTTCCCCCAATTCAATATGGTTACTTTTGATTTCGCGATATAGTAACGTGATTCCGACTGGATGGATTATTGTTAATTTTTATTATAATTCATTTTAGCTTTTTGAAGCATATTACGAAGGAGTGAGCCTGGGAATTGACTCGGACGATGAGTTCATAGCATTAGTTCGTAATTGTTGGACAATTTAATATTTTGTGTTTGTGACGTAATTAATTTTTAAATATGTATATATATATATATATATACACTGGTACCATTTGTAAATAGTATTGATAATTTTTATCTAATTAAATTTATTGAAAATATATTTATCCGAATATAACCATTGTTTCTAAAATATTCACTTTTGAATATACTCCATTTTAAAAACTTTACAAGTTTTTAAAACTATCAGTAATACGGGTTGTTAGTAAATAAATCAATATTAACAGCTTGAGGTCATCTGAAATATAATAGCAATTTAACATGACGTCATTTGAAATATAGTACAATTCAAATTTATCTTTATATCTAATCTTTTTAATTATTTTTAGTATTCTTGGTTTTTAGTTAACAACGTAAAAAGACTAAATAAGATAACTTTTTATTTGAGAAATTATTCAGTATAATTTAAAGATTATGCCCCCCCCCCCCTTCACTCATTCTAAACGTAGCATCGCCTCTGGGATAAAAGGGTAAGCAAGTATATCCCACAAAATCTAAAAAAAAAACATGAATAAAATCTATTATTTTATCCCTCTACTCCAAAATAATTTTCCGATTTGCACCCAACGTAAAAAACTATTGAAAATAAATTATGTTGTTATTTTTTTTTATTTTTCATATAATTTTTTTTTTATTTTTAAAAATTTTTGAACATTTAATACTAATAGAGTAAAAAATGTTCGAAAAAAAGTAAATTTTATTAGTGATTGAAGTGATTAAAAATAAAAGTAGCGGTTATAAAAAGTATACACTATAATAGCAATAAAAATAATTGTGATAATAGCAATAAAATTATAAAAAGTAGGTGCTATAATAACAATAATAATAACAACAATAATATAAAACTAGTTATAATAATAACAACATTAAGAATATGAATATTATAATGAAAATACAGTAATAATAACAATAGTGATAAAGAAAATACAGTAGTATTAACAAATGTGATAAAGAAAATACAGTAATAATAACAATAGTGATAAAGAAAATACAATAATAATAACAACAGTGATAAAGAAAATATTTCAGTTAGAGAAAAATTAAAATAATAAATATACGAAATGTTATTAAAATTATATCACAACAAAAAAGAGATACAATATTAAATAAATAGAATCTCAGAGTTAAGGTTATAAATAATAAGTTGTAGCAAGGTATACTCGAGTCCTAAATACAAGGAGGGGGGGGGGGGTTTGCGGAAAGTTTATTAATTTTTGAAAAATTTTCCCACCCACTCTGAGATTATTAAGAACCCACCCCCTAACGCTATTATCGTTTAATTATTTTTACTTGTTATTGACAAAAATCCTCAAAACTAAAAAAAAAAATCCAGTGAAAGTCGGCCTTAAAAATTATTTTAGTCACCTATCAAAACAAAAACTGTCAGTGTAAACAAGCTTTAAAAATCGTCAACCTAGCAAATCTCGATTTGTCGATTTGGCTTATTTCTAACCAAAGTATAAAACTTATATTAGCATATTAAATCCTATTGAATAAAACAGTTGTTAGAAATGCGCAATTCGACCGCAAGCCACGCTAGAGTTAAATAGTTTTAATTCTAGTGTGTTTTGTAAAAATTATTAGTTTGGATTTATAAATTGAGGTTTTTGATATATAAGATTTATAAACTACTTTTTTTAAAAACGGTTAGAAACTTTTAAGTTTTGAGAACGATTTAAGAGGTTTTATTTGGGAAGGGAGATTGTTACAGGTTTGTATGCTTTTATGTTGTATGGATTCATAGCTGTAATGAACAGTTCGATATTTAGGTACAGATAGCTGCATGCAAGCAGATCGTAGAACATAGATACAATAATCCTTATCAATCCCATTTCAAAGTTGATAAATGTATGAGGTAGATTATTATCATTTTTAGAGAATTTAAAATAAAAAATACTTCCAATTAAAACGAATATTGAATGTAAAACAACTTGTCATCTTTATAATCATCATTGTGATCAACGGTATAAAAAATGAATAAAAATCAACTACAATCTCTACGCTTAAAGTACAGATTACACCTAAGTTAAATAGAGTTAAAGTTTAAATGAACTGACAGAATATCCAAACGGAACACAAGCAATTATAAAAAGTAAATACAAGTTTCAAATTCTCTGAATTTGAAATTTGTATTTACTTTTGGTATGCAGATGAATTTTAAAAATTCATCTACATAACTTAAAACATGCGGATAGATCCAGACCTTTAAAAAAAGCTACATAAAAATTAAATCTTATATTGAACAAATTAAAACCAGCATGAAATATACAAAAAATAATAAATAAATTGAAACGTATTAAAATAAAATTGGTTTAAAGGCACAAATCGTTGTTTGTTAAATAGCTCAACTCATTGCTTGTTAAAAACCACGACAACTTTAAGAACGCATTTTGTTAAAAAAACCCAAGATACTATTACTAACAATGTTTCTATACCATTAGAAGGTAGTTTCTTTGAAGAGGAGATTGCTCTCACTAATACGGGAACCAAGAAGTTGTGCATTCTCTTATTTTTATAAACAATACAAACTTCATTAGACTATAAAAAAAACGTTTGGATTAGTTTTAAAAAATTATCTTACCTTGAAGATCTTGGTCTTACAAAAATAGCAATCTGTAATATGGTCCTTGCCTTCTCACCATACCATCGGTACACCAAATGACATACAGTTTGCTGTGCCCTCATTCCAGCGCCTTAAGGCTACGACACAAGCTTTGCAGCATAAACGTGGGGCAAAGCTTTTGTCTTGATTGCCAAGCCTTATTCCGAAATTTGCTCTGTAAAGGGACTTTACCAACGTAGTTATGGTGCACTTCTGATCACTGAAAGTTACCTTTCCACACACATAGCAGAATCTGTAAGGACTGTTTTTACATTTTTTATTCATTTTTATTTATCTTATATATTAGCCTGTAAAAAAATTGGCATTTATTTGGTATTAATTGAATTGATGAATAAGTCTTTATATATATACTTTATATAATGTTTATAGATATATTAATATACAACTGTCACCTGGGAATTGTAATAAAATAGACATATGCGGTATAAACCCCTAAGTCTATATCTTAAAAACTAGACCTGATTGAGAAATTTGAATCTTAGATACAGATTTAGAATACAAATTTCATTGAGAACCACCGAAGAAAACTCTAGGTACATTTTTGACGCAGCCTTGTGTAATCATATCACCCTAAGCAAAGCGGTCTTAAGCTCCAGCTAGCCTAGAGACATCTAACAAATAGGTCTCTTGCAATGCTGGATTAAAGATGGAAAAGCGCTATAGCCTCATGTCCCGCAGTGCTTGGGGCCCTATTTTTTCAATACAACTTTTTTTTTTTTCTTGATCCAATCCTATTCTTTACATCTAGAACAACGTTTCAGATGACCACGAACAAGTTATTAGTGTTCTGAGGATTCATTTGATGATTAGCTCGTTTGATCACAAAAAAATTGCAAGCTAAAAACGATTAGGATAAATGTATTAAATCTAGAAATAAGCGGAGAGATTACAGACTTAGACATCGAATGAATTTAAAAAATATAGTGTCTTATTGAGAACACTATCTTCTGGCCATAATATTGATTGTGTTGAACTTTAAAAACTTTGCTTCGAAAATAGAACTATGTATCTAGATTTGTATTCGTGGTACTAGATGCTTGTTACAGTGCATCAAATTATAATACATAGTACAAAATTTATAAAGTTTCTTCAATTGACTCTAGGAAGAATCTCAAGAAGCATAAAGACTTTAGAAGATCCCCATAAAATAGTACTTTAAAAAATTGCGCGTTTCTTCAAATACAGATTTGCTAAATATGCTCTTATTACACCTGACCTTGTTAGATGTAATCGATTCTCTTAAAATAATTGCCTGTATAGAAAAGCGATAAATTTCCAGTAGAGTTTTGAATTTGATTCTCCCACCTCAAGCAATTGCAAATCATTTTTTTACTAATAAATTTTATGTTTCAAGTGATGGTTATTATTAAGTTATTAGTGTTCATTTGATGAGTTTTTTTATTCTTAAATATAAACTTTATTGTATAATTTTATTGTATACTTGCTTCTTAAATTTTTTATATTAACTAATTTAAAATTCTTAGTTATTTGAACTATATAACTTAAACAATAGTTTATTGAATCTTATTATAAAATAATTATAATATAAATTTATAATTTAATAATTTAATTATAAATATAAAATATTAGTTTTATTGTATTTATGTTAATAAACCTAAAAATTAAAACGTTGTAATTAAAACCTTAATAACAACGTAATTAAAAATAGTTAGCAAAATAACATTTGTCCAACGTATGTAAAAAATATCGCAAAAAGTGTTGTTTTTCTGATCTAAGTCCAATGTTGGTCCAATATATAGAGACTAACGTTGATACAAACGTGTATAGCCCCACAATGGTCCAATGGATATGGATTAACGTTGATCCAATGTTTATAACGCAACGTTAATCCAATATGTGTGTATTAACGTTGGATTATATGCATTAAATCAACGTTGATCCATATGCATTGGAAAAACATTGGATTTTATACAGTGGATCAACGTTGTGCTTGCATCAAGAAAAGTCAGATATACAAACATATACTTGTATAATTTATAAGAATTATTTTTTGATTCAAATATTTCAGTTGAATATGGAAATATATTTTGCTAATAAAGTTTTCTCTTTTTTATATAACAAAACATCAAGGCAAAAGCAAAACAAATATGAATAATTCCTCTATAATCAGACGTAACATCAAAGGTATAATCAACCGCCATCAGCAATGTTGATTCATCAAAATGATTGAAATATGAATGTATAAGTACATATATAAAATTATATATACATGTAAAAGTATAATATTTAATATGTATATGTATATGCTAAAATACAAATCTTTATAATTTCGATAATAATGAAAACGTAAAATACAACGTTGAATCAACTTAAAATGCAACATGCTAACGTAAAGTATTGCACAATGCCGACTTAAATACAACGTTGGTGCCATCGTTATTTGTAACTAAAATGATAAAAAAACAACGTTTGCGGTTGATGTTGGGCTAACGCAACGCTCAACATTGTTCTAAAGTTTTATAAATGTTTGTGTGCTAGCTAGGAATGTTACCTGGAACTGGACCTAAAAGAAAATAAGGAAAAATTAAAAATAAGTTAGGGTCAGAGAATATTTCAACAGTTTCTTAGCAAACATCGGCCCTAAGATGGCGGCTAAAATTCAATACCCAAATACCTATTTTGAAACCTATTTTACATATCTACATAGCAAACTAAAATTCAATGGTATAAGTTATGATGAATACGATGATACTAAAAACTCTTTGAAAATTAACAAAGCACCAGGGATCAATGAGATTTGTAGCAACGTAGTAATAAGTGTCTTTCCGGTGATACGGAAACCCTTATTCGAAATCTTTAATTACAATAGGAACTGTTCCAGACAAATTAAAAATTGCAAAAGTCGTACCAATATTTAAAACCGGAGAGCTATTTTCACTTAACAACTACAGACCCGTCTCAATCCATCCAGTGTTTTCTAAACTTCTAGAACGAATAGTTTACAATAAACTATATAAATACCTAACTAATAACAATATCTTGAATAAAAAACAATTCGGACTTCAAAAGCAAAATTCAACCAAACATATTAGATCTTGTAAATATATTAGATTTTGTAAACAAAATAAATGACTCTTGATAATGAAAAATTTGTTCTACGAATCTTTATTGACCTATCAAAAGCATTCGATACTGTTAATCATGCTATATTACTTATAAAATAGAAGAATTATGGCATTAAAAATTTTGCTTTACAATAGTTTGAGAGCTTTTTTTTAAACAGACAGCAATCTGTTATTACAGATAAAAATATCCATTAAAAATTGCTTAAAATTAAATGCGGAGTTCCCCAAGGTTCCATTCTAGCTCCCTTACTCTTCTTGTTATACATCAATGATCGTCCAAAAGTCTCAGACAAACTCAATACCATAATGTTTGCAGATTAAACTAATTTATCTTATTCATCTACTTCTATCACAGAACTTTTTGAAACTGCAAATATTGAACTTGAAAAACTTAATACTTGGTTTAAATCTAACAAATTATCATTGAATACAGAAAAAACCAACTACATTCTATTCCATTCCATTCAAAGAATTTTTTTTTTAACAAATATATTACCATTTCTAAAAACAGAAAATAAAATTATCGAAAGAACCAAAGCAACAAAATTTTTAGGAATACTTATCTATGAGAATATTTCTTGGAAATCCCACATTAACTTTTTAAATACTAAAATAAGAAACAACATTTGTATGCTATACAAAGCTAGACCGATGTTACCCCAAAAAAAATTTAAAGCAACTTTATTTCTTTTTTATTCAAACCTATTATATGTATGGTAATATAGCATGGGCAAGTACCCATAGATCCAACCTAGTGGCGCTCTACTGACATCAAAAGCATGCTACAAGAATAGTATTTAATAAAGATAAGTGCACTCATGCTGAACCTTTGCAAAAACATATTAATGCACTAAACGTCTATAAAATTATTAAAATTTTTTGTTCATGCTTAAATATAAACTTAGACTTCTTCAATCACATTTTTTCAGAAATTTTTTTTAAATGCAATACAAATATGATATGATACTCAATATGAAAAAAGATATGATACTTGAGGAACAGGAAATTTTAATGTACCAAATAAAAAAACAATATTAACACGTTTCTCTATTTCGTATCGCAGCCTTTACCTCTTCAACAAATTAATTTTTAAAAATACTACAATTACAAAATTTCATTACTCAAATTCTGTGAAAATATTAACAATTTTACGAACGTATATTAAAACTAATAACTAAAAAAAAAAAAAAAATCTAAGAATTAGCTTCAAAGCAAAGTGTATATTAGATTTTATTTATATTTCGTACATGTATGTCAATATATTAAGTATAACAAGCTATGTAATTATATATTTATGTGCATCAAATACAGCTTATTTCTCTTTTTGATTATTTAAAGCTTTTTATATGTGACTCTAATGCCATCAAGAGACTTTGCTAAACTAAAATTTTTTTAACAAATTAAGCATACACAAATATCGCTACTAAAAGCAGTTTTTTGATAAAAAAAAATAGACACAATATACAAAGCAAAGTTATGTGATTTGGGTTATCTGTAAAACAAGACGTTAAGTTAGCTAGGTGAGAGGTTAAGAAAATTGCGAGTATTTAGTGTTACTAAAGTTGAGCTATTTAATCTGATGATCACCGATAATGAAATATTAGTATACAATAAAAGGAAAAGGTTTAATCAATTTGGGTAGAAATAAAATTGAAAAGAATGCAGCCTTTTCCAAAGATGAAACAACCGAATTTTAATAAGTCTCACAAAAAGAGCAAGTATGTCTTGTAAATTTCGAAAGAGATGTAGTTAAACAAAAACACTTTAAAGATCAAAATTATTTTAAAAAGATAAAATAAAGCACTTAGTTGGTGACGACAACTTTCCTATTTAATACTTTAATGATAATTATATTTATTTTAGGGGTTTTACATCAAATCATAAAAAAGATAAATGAATTAATAAACGTAAATGAGAAATCTCATTTTTTAAATAATAAATTTATAAACTTTTATGAGATAAAATGACTTTAAGAAATTTATATAATTAAGATTTTTTGATTATTTTTTAGTTTTTTCAGTAAGAAACTTCAATAAACAAATTGCAAAGTTACAAGATTGCTATTAAAAAAAGCAACTTTGATCACAAACTCCTTATTTTAAACAGATAAAGTTAGTACAGTTGAATCATACTTTTTAAAATGACCATAAGCATTGATTATGAAAATTTTAATGGAAAAATAGAAGAGATGGTCTGTAGAATTGATTAACTTGATTATGAAAATTTTAATGGAAAAATAGAAGAGATGGTCTGTAGAATTGATTAACTTGATTATGAAAATTTTAATGGAAAAATAGAAGAGATGGTCTGTAGAATTGATTAACTTGATTATGAAAATTTTAATGGAAAAATAGAAGAGATGGTCTGTAGAATTGATTAACTTGATTATGAAAATTTTAATGGAAAAATAGAAGAGATGGTCTGTAGAATTGATTAACTTGATTAAATTTATTAGTGCTCAGATTATCCCAAACTATTTTAATATTATACTAGAAATGATTAAGTAATAATACAATTATTAATAATAAATACAATAATAACCAAAACCCTTTTATAATGTTAATCAAATTTTCCTCTATAATGTTAACTAAATTATTTGGTTGATGTATTTCTTACATAAGGGGTTTTAAACCACCTTTTCAAACTATTAGACTGATTATTAAAAAAAATTTATTAGGCTATAATAAAAAAATACAATTTTAAATAAATTTTGAATAAAAATTCATAGTACTCTAAATGTGAAAATTATTCCAGTACTTTGTGTATCCTGTTCATTTGGAAAATGCTTTCTATAACCTTCGTACGGTTCTTTTGAAACTATTTCTAAAACGTGTTCTTTTTCTAATTCCTCCACAATACTCCAATTAACGTAGGAGCAGCTTATGTAAGATTGCTTAGTCAAAAGAATAAAGTATCCACCGCTTTTAATGATACGACAAATTTCTCGAAAACATTCAGTACCAGGGTGCGTTGCAGATAAAAAAAATGTGCCAGCGGAGCAAACAATGTCGTATTCATTACTTGAAATATTTTTTAATCCTTCCTCATTTCTTCCTAAAATTAATTTATTCATGGTACCTTTAGCTTTTGCTGAATTAAGCATTTCTTGGTTTGCGTCAACTCCATCGATTTCGGAAAAACCAAATTTTATCAAATATTCAGAAACCAAACCAGTTCCACATCCGTAATCAAGAATTTTAATGTTTTTGTCAAAAACTAAATCATTTATTTTCTCTGCAATTTTTGAAGGCCCTGAATAACTTTCTAAAGAAATAGCTTTATCGTATTTACTAGCAAAATCTCTATACAAGTTTTGTTGCATTTCATATTCAAATGAACAAGTTCTTTGACGAGCTTTCTCCATGCTTTCCTGAAACGATGACATCCATAATTTAAAAAATTCTTCATCGCTTTCATTCGACATTTTTTCTTTATTATATGCTCTTGGATAGCACTTTTTCTTTACTGTTAAATGTAATGGTTTATATAACTTACGCAGCACTGTTTTTTATAACACTTAAGCAAAACAGGTTTGTAAATAAATGTGACAGTTTCATTGTCTATAAATAAAATATTTGTTTAAATGATGTCATAGTTTGATAGCTTTTTTGATAGAATTTGTTAAAACAAAACCTTCAAATCAATTTACTAAAACTTTAGGGTAAACTAAATCAATTTCAATATCCATAATAATATAAATTAGTCTTGAACTTTTTTTTTTTTACTAAAAAGTATATTTTGAAATAAATAAACAACTTATTTATAACAATTTAAAATAACTTATTTTCCACTTATTTTGAAACCAAATATATAAATAAAAAAAAAGTATCGCCATATTGATACTTTTAAAAGAAAAATTGCTTTTCTTCCTTCTCACCGGATTTAAAACAAACAAATATGCAGATAGCATTGCGATTTTACAAAGCTTTTTTACCATTTTATATTCAACGCATGAATGTTCAGAAAATAAAAAAAGCTTTTAAAATTTGTGATTTGCAGTTATTCAAAGCAGACAAATCAATATATTCACTTTACATGAAGTTTATTCTGCTAATGCGAAAGAGTACTGCAAAATGGATAAATAGAGATAATATTTTTTTATTATTAAAAAAAGATTAAGCAATCGTGTCTTGCAATCTTGTATATCTCGCAATTTTCGTCATAACTGTTTAAAAAAGTTAAAGTAATAGACAAATTTATTTTTCCGTGTAAAATAGTTTTTTGTTCCTTTTTTTTTTTTTTCTCATGATTGATGATCATCAACTTTGTTTGAAAAAAAATCCGATCAAATATAGCTTATTGTAAAATTAATTTCAAAAATAGATATTTGATAAAACCTTTCTTTTTTACACGTATTTTTGTAGGAAACAAAATATTTTATCTATTAAAAAAAAAATTTAAATCTTAAAAATTAAATCTTTGAAGCATAAAATATTTTAACATAAAAAAAATTTAAAAAAAGTTAAACTGAGAAAATTTAATTGAAACTGAAAGACAAATTTTCGAATTTTAAACCAAATTTAACTGAAATTTGAATGTGGACATTAAAACCGAATTTTACTAAAAACTCTTTTTTTCACGTATAGAAAATGTAAAAAAAAAGTTTCATGTTATCTTAGAAGTTCTCTCAAGAGGTAGTTCTTATCTATCAATTGATAGGTGATAGCTACCTCTTAACTACCTCATATACCTTTAGTAAGAAAGAACCCAGCTTGAATATTCCAGCACAATATTTCTATCTGCAGCTCCAACTCAATTGATATTTGTTTGACACAATTCAAAAATTTGCTTTGCGGATTATTTGTAGTACCAAATGTAATGTTTATACAGCCTCCTCTTAATGAAATCAAAACTTGGGAAGGGAAAATTTTAATTGAAACTTTTTATCGTTCTCGCCATTTTCTTACTGCTGATTTCATTCTCTACCTTAACAAAACTCTTATTCGCCCCTGTATGGAATACTGTTGTCATATTTGGGATGGTTCTTCTAATGATGCTCTTTCTTTTCAAAACAAGGTCCAAATACACATTGTAAACGTAGTTTTACCTGCTCTATCTGCTAAGCTTGAGCCTTTTTTCCATTGTCATAAAGTTACATCTCTTTCTTTTTTGTACAAATACTATCATTGTTGTTGCTTATCATCTTTAGTTCCGTCAACTAAAACTCATTCTTGTTTAACTCATCTCAAAGCAAAGTCTCATTCATTTACTGTATCTATCCCTGCATGCTCTAAAATATTTTATTTGTCTAGCTAAACTAATAGGAAACTTTAATTCATCTAGCTAGACGAAACTTACATAACATTATTGTATAAACTTATTACTTTCATAAGAAAAATGAAAGTACATTTTTGAATAATCATTTTTTATAAACCAAAAATATTAATTTTTAAAAATGTTTTAAAACATGATGAAAAACAAGAGCAGTTTGTGTCTAAAACATAAGTCTAAAAAAAAATGCAGCAATGAGGGATCAATATTATCTTTACAACGTTTTAAAAAGAAAATTAACAAAAGTGTAAAAAAAACTTTAATTGAAAAATTTTGAGCGTCAATTTTATAAAGTTATTGTAAGATACCTCTGTATATAATATATAATACAAAGTTTTTTTTTTGATTGATAAAAGTTAATTTTATTAAATTTGGTCGAAGTAGAAGTCAACTTCGCCTTTCAGTAAACTTCGTAATCCGAATCTTAACGAATATTCGCCAGTCCTTAGTTTCTCCACCTGAACTCCATTTCAGTGAACACCAAGTGAGTAAAGCTACTTGCCTCTTTTTCATAATAAAACTTCAAAAAAGTTTTTAGATAATAAACCTGTTACCAGATGTGTATATATTAGGGCAGTTTTAATGAACCTATTTTGAAGATTCTTAGATGAAATAACACTTCAATAGATTACTTGAAACGTTTTAAACATTGTGGAGGTTAAACCTTTCCTAAACAACTTTCTCTATGCGGTCTTGGCTAAAAACCACTAGGAAACAAATTGGTCAGACCCCAATTTTTTTTTTAATTTTGTTGAAGGAAGAAGTTTGCTTAGGAAGAATCTTAACCTCAATTGAAAACCAAAATCTTGTGATAAAAATATTTATTTAAATGTATGCACCATTTTGAATCAGAAATAAACCAAAAAATTGCCTGATATGCTAAAGAATATGTATGCTCACATGGTTATTTTTCTTGTCCTAAGGGACAAGAAAATTAACCATGTGAGCATACATACGATTCGATTGCTTTAAATAATAAAATAATAACTTTTAGTAAATACGTAAATTGCTATAACAACTTTTTTAAAAATTTGTTTAAATTTTGCGTGTTTTGTGATTTACGAGTAAAATTTGAAATAAAATAAATCTGTACTTTGCCGGTGTCAGTAACATATTTACCTAAAAATCTATAAACTTCACTTAAAATATATTTTCTTCAAAGTAAAAAAGTTCAAACCAACTGGATGTAAATTTGTATAATAATGCTATTCCATTAAATATTTGTTTTTTAAAGCAGTTATCTTGATTGTCTCAATTACTCTGGGTGCTTTAATTTTTCTATAGTTTTGTTTTAGTTTATACAAAGTCACATTCTCTTGCTCGTGATCTCTAGTCATTTCTTCAACGGTTTCCGAGAATTGACCATGAAATGCATGAATTGTTTTACCTAAATCTCTGATAGCGTTGCTTAAGCTTGCTGAAAATATAAAAGTAAAATTAGTAAATCTTTAATTATTACAAATAAAACGATTTATAAAAATAATTAATAGCAACAGACATAACAATATAAACGATGTAACGGGTAGAGAAAAAATGTAATGTAAATGCAAATTATGAAATAATATTTGTAGTACTTTTTCTTTATAATTTAATTTAAACTTAACATATGAGAAATTGATAAATATTAGTAACTTAAATGACAAAAGCTCATACCCGAACGCACGTACATCTTAGAAACAAATTTACGTTTGTAACCATTTTCAAGTTAACAATCGTAAGTCGTAAACATAAGTAAATATCGAATGCATAATAAACAAGACAGAAAAAGAAAGGAGCTTACAGAAAATGTTTTTCTAAAAAATAAAAAGATTAAAAAAATGAAATAAAAAGTTAATTAGAATATAAAATTATATGTTCAATATAATAATATACAGACTTTTCAACATTATTTGCTATTAATGGGATTGCAGAAAAATATTCTTTAGTCTTTCATAAAGTAAGCAGATTAAGTCCGACTTTTTAATTGCTGATTCAGGTTACCTGAATAAATGTGAACTTGTTACAAGCCAAATCAATTGTATTCTGAAAATAGTTAATACATTTTCAGAAAGCATTACCATGTGCTAATGTTCTTTGAAAATGTAGTTCCGGGACGTACGTCCCGCAAATACTAACTTAAAGCACCACAATTTAAACAACAACAGTTTATAAGCCCAAAAATCAAAAATCGTATCGAAAGTCTTTAGTATTTTGCATCGATATTTAATTATATTTGCTTTTTATGTGAATAAATTTTAGTGAACGAAATTACCAGCAAACAATGTTCTTCTAGCGACTTCTTCTAGTAGTAGTAGTAGTAGTAGTAGTAGTAGTAGTAGTAGTAGTAGTAGTCGCAGTAGTAGCAGAAGCAGTAGTAAAACAGTTGTTTTGTAGCCTAGCTATTTTTTGATGGGTCATTTGAAGTCTGATTTTACGTCTTTATTACTTTTTAAAAATCTTTATAATTAAGTTATATAAAAACTCGCAACTTACGCTCAACTTGGACTTTCATTCTAGTTGTTCGCTGTTTTATACTAACAAATAAACCATAAAGTGTCATTGTACCAATAAGAATGCCAAGATAGTATAAAGATTTCATAAAAGTTAAAGATGTTTCAGACAGCATTTGTTGTATTGTCTCTTCAGAATTCTCAGTAACAAGTTTCTATAATCAAAATAAAAAGTGAATTTTTTTTTTTGTTCTTTATTACATGAAAGTTTTTATAAAAATATATAAATTTAAAAAGTTTACAATTGAAGATTGTTTTAAAATAATGATAGAAATTAAATAAAAATAATAAATGCGGAAACTCAAAAAAGACTTCGAAGGTCTTGTCATGAGAACCGCTAAAGTTTGACGCTTCAATTAAAGTTGATGTATACTCATATAATGCGATTTCTTCTTTTCAGCAAGCGCTGTCGACTCGCGTAAAAACATGTAATTTGTTTACAGAGGATTGTGGGATGCCCTGGTAGTATAACATTTAAAAACAAATAAATACGTTGTTTTCAATACCCAAATGCTGTCAGTAATTGATTACTCTTAATTTATTTTGTAAACTATTCATAGAATTAATCTTTTTTTTTTTATACTAATTTGACATAATTCTAAAAAATTTCTGATTAGAATAATAGGTTTCTCATAAAACATTTTTCAAAAAAGCAGCAATAATACAGTGTAATATTAAGTATATCATGTCTTAATAAAACTTATCGGGTAATAAGCCATAATAATAAGCCAATTTGAAAATCTTCAAATGAAACTTGATAAAATAATTTACTATCCAATAATTACACAGCAAATTATCATTATCAATTCAAGTTTAAACACACACACATGTATATATGTATAAATGTATGTATGTATTTACATACATTTATACATACATACATACAATCATACATAATGTATGTATGCATGTATGTATGTATACATACATACATACATATGCGAATTTGAATCAGTATGTACACCTAGCCGTGTATGTATGTATGTATGTATGTATGTATGTATGTATGTATGTATGTATGTATGTATGTATGTATGTATGTATGTATGTATGTATGTATGTATGTATGTATATACACACAGATTAACTCATAAAACCAAAACTGATTGTTAAAAGAAAAACATAAAGGCATTATTTAATAATTATCAATATTAAAATTTTTTAATTATTTAAAAAATTTTTAAATAATTAACAAATAAAAGCAAAAAATTCTTGTTCTGACAAATATGCAAATTTTTTTTATTGTAAGTAAAAAAGCATGTTAAAAAAATCTTTAAATAAAATGTCAAAAGTACAGAATTCCATGATCTTAAATAACATAAAAAAGCTAGGTTTTTAGTATGAAGTCACTTTTCAATAAATTCCATGAATAATGATAAATAGAATATAACAAATCAATGATATAAATAAAGATTTTGGTAAATAATTTTGGCGGTTTGTCTCAGTTTGTATTGGTCTCTAAACCATGCCTAATATCCATCGTTTCACCACAAAGTATTACCACACACTGTTGACACAGTCAGACACCTTTTTTAACAAGCTAGAAAAATCTGCATGCATTGTACAATAGTTTTCTTTCCAAGAATTGAACAGTAAACCTGTTGAATTGATATTTTGTCAGCAAAAAATAGAAAATTTTGTTTATTTACTTTTTTTAGAGTAAATATTTAAATAAAGCATTTATATGCAGTACAACGCTAAAATCTATTTCTTTAAGACAATCGTTTTTAAAACTGCTAGTTTCTAATGACAACAACAACTAAACATTCAGTTAAGCTTATCCAAATTGTTCGAATGTCTATCATTTCAACCTTCTTTGCTCTGAATAGTTTTGATCAAACTTTCTAAATAATTTTGCTTGAAGTGAGATGAGAATATACAGCTAAACTTTTTTTCGAGTTAAAAACTAAACTTTTTTTCGAAGCTCCTTACATAATTTCAGTATGCTAGTTATTGTAACACTTATTCTCTTATGATGCAGAGCCTTATGATGCAGAGTCTTATGATGCAGAGCCAGAAACACAAAACATTCATTTCTTAATCCGAAGTTGAGATACCCCAAACAGTAACATGTTATTTTTCTTTGTTGTTACATCAAATCGAGCAGGTTTATCAGCATGAGATTTCTTTGAATTAATTAGATTAAAAAGAGTATTATTTTTATCAATAAATTAGTTGGTCAATAAGAAGTCAGTATAACAGTTGACAGTAATAATTAATACAAAAAATGCTCCAAAAATTTTGGTGCATGATGGATAGAAATGCATTTACGTCTTCGTCTATTTTATACAACGTCAGAATGTGATGCCATGAGACTATATTTAGAACATAAATACTGTAGAAATGGCATTATGGAGAAGATATTTTCCCTCAGTGTTTGTTAAATAAAAATTGAACTTTCAAAATGATTGATGCAGAAACAATAATCATTATTTAGAATTTCAATAAGTTTTCCATCAAGATCTCATCTTGCACCAGTAGAAATAAGAACAAAATACAAATTTTATATTTGAGTAGTGAGTTAATCATTGAAATAACTTGATAATTTTCGTTAGCAATTCCACTTGTATTTGCGCAGTTGGTTGCAGCACAGTATGAAGGCATTTCTGAACAACGAAGAGTATTATTTATTAAAGAATAACGCAATATAAAACAGAAAACTTTGCAGAGTTTCAGCTAAGTTTGTTGTTGTGAACTTATTTCTATACTACCAGGACATCCCAGAATGCTTTGCGCATACGATTACACTCTTAAGTATGTAAAAACGAAAGAGTTGACAGGCCTTGCTTTTCAGTATGTTTTAATTTTTGTGACGAATTTTTTATTTTTCTTCAAAATTATTATTTTCTCCAACAATTGTAAAACTCCTTTGTAAATACATTATTGAATAGATTAAGTCTATTTTTTTTTCTTTATTTTATTATTGTTATTTTTTTAGTATCATGATTGTCTTTGCCGATTACTATATCATGATTATTTATTGATTACTATCGATAATTATTGATTAATTATTTATTACTATATCACGATTGTCTTGTCGAATTGAAAGATTTTTATTGTCATATAATGATTTTCCACCTGGTGATTTGTAAAAGTTCATCTTTGACCCACATGCAGCAACTTTGAACAATTTCAGTCGTTTTAGGCAAGTAGGTTAGTTTTGAAAGTCATACTAGTCACTTACGTGTATAAAGATACATAACATCATATGTGCATATAGAATATTTGTATGAACGCAAGTAAACACATAGACATATACAAATTAAAAGAGTATAATAAAAAATTCTAATTACACTGGGCAATAAAAATATATACTTTTTTGTGTATCTTTAGCAATTTTATTCAAATTATACTAATTTTGGGCTGAGAAATGAGAAAATGACAACGAAAGTTTTTTATTAACTCTAGTTTCTGAAATATACAATAGCAATAAATTTTTATTTCAGTTAATTTGCAACAGAGTAATGTGACATAATTTACATAATCTAATAATATTTAAATTACTTTTTTATTTAAAGTATATGGTTTTTTTTATTACAGATATATTCAAACAGTTTGAAACAAAAAAATCATGACCGTCAAGCTAATAGGTCCCTACACATAAACCAACAGTAATCTGCAAGCCTAGCCTCACTCCAACAACTCTGATACCTTTGTTCCATTACAGAAATAACTTGGTGAAACCTTTCCCCATGTTCATCACTAACAGTTCCACAACTGGGTGAGGGGGGGGGGAGAAGTCTAGGTGTGAGTGGAGGAAATAAATCTTGAGGGATATGTTACATCCAAATTGATGTTATTTTTGCAGAAGTAATATTACCAATTGAATGTAGTTATTATCTCTTTTGTTGCCTAAAAATCCACAATTCACTCCCTTAAGAGCTTCCCAAGTTTCCTTTTCTTGCCCCTTCAAAACTTTGTCAAATGCAGGATCCTTCATAAGTTGACATATTTTTGGCCCAACAAAAATACCCTCTTTAACTTTTGAATCACTTATTTTTGGAAATTTGTTTCTTAAATACCTAAAAACCTGTATAAAAAAGTATAGCAATGACTTTAAGAGATGCAATTATCATCACAAATTTTCCATTTGTGTTCATTGTAATTAATTGAGTTGAGAAAAACTTTCATGTTTATATAAGTCTCTTTTATGTGAACTGCATGGCCAATAGGAACAGAAGAAAGACGGTTTCCATTGTGAAGTAATACAGCTTTCAAGCTTAGCTTAGATGAGTCTATGAATAATCTCCATTCAGTTAGATCATAGTTCAAATTAAGACAGTACATTAATCTGAAGACATCAATGCAATCAACAACATTATTTAACTTCTCAAAAAAAGAAAGCAGATTCTGCTACCGTTTTCTGTAACTTTCTGTGAAACCTTGACATCAAATCGGAGATGATTGCACTGCTTTAGTCTCAACCCTAGAAGTTCTGCCTTTTCCTGTAACAAGTCCAGATCTCGAACAAGATCACTTAATTCTGCTTCAGTGTGTGTGGCACATCATCTGTTAATACCAAATCAGGATCATTTGATTTGGAAAGCTTGGTACTTTCTTTTTCTTCTATTTTTACTTCAATTCTGCTTCTAACTCACAACTTTGTGGTGGAGTAGGAACTGCTAAACTATCCAAATGTGAAATAGGTCGAATAGCAGATGGAAAATTCGGGTATTTAACTGTTCCTATTTTCTTCAACGACAAACCTGCCTTAATGGGTGGGGTCAAGCAAAAATAGCAGTCACCTGTGTGATTTTTAGGGTCCCTTCATACCATAACAGCAAAACAGCAAAAGTCACTGATTTTTTTTTTTTCCAACCATTCTAGTAGTGTAACTGAACAAGAGCTACTGCATATATATGGAGCTCATGCCTTATCCTTATCCAAAGTAATGCTGGTAAGCAGTCTTCACAAGAGGTGTCATAGTTCTATTATGTGAGTAAAATGTTATTTCACCACAAATGTAATAAAAATTGTCCACTAAATTTAAACACTTCCTTTGCATCCTATTTTGTCAAATTTTACACTAGTAAATGAAAAAGAAACTTTAGCGAACACACAAGAACATCATTAGAAAAATTAGCCAAAATATGAAAACAGTATTCCATAAAGGAACAAATAAGAGATTTGTAGAGGAAAAGAATGGCAAAGAGTAAGAAATGATAAGCAAGATAAAGAGAAACAACTTTAGCAGATGCTAATTTAGCAATTGATTGTATATATGGTTTCCATGAAAGGAAGAGTACTCAGTGAGAGGGATGCCATTCATTAATATAGGAATGTTGTCAGTATTGCGATAGTTGTTTGCAGTAAATAACTGAGTTTTGTTAAAGTTAAAATTATAAGCCACTTTGAGCCCCAATCTGTTACAGAAGTGAGATCAGATTCAAGATTGGCCGCCTGTTCTAAGCAATTGAAAAGAGAAGAATTTTTGTATAGACAGGAGTATAAAGTTGAATCATCAACAAAAAGAGCTACTTTAGATGTAAGGTTGTCAGGAGGATCATCAATGTAGATAAAAAATAAAATTTGCGTAAGGCTGGAACCTTGAGCTACCCCAGAAGTTACTGGAAATGAAGAAGAGTGTTGGCCTTCAATGATGACTTTAATAAAGCGGTTAGAAAGAAACAATCTGATAATCTTAGTAACTTTCCCAGACCATATGAAACAAGCTTTTGAAGAAGACCAGCATGCCAAAATTTGTTGGAAGCTTTAGATATGTCAAGAGCAACAGCTCTATCCTTTTTGCGTCCGTTATTTATACTACTAATTAATAGAGAATTATAAAGTCTCATTATTATTGTAATTGTTTTAACAAAATTTTTAAACTGACAGATAATTATAAAGTTTAACCACTAATGTTTTTTTTATTTTAAATACAACAAAACTAAAACTGTAAAACGTTTTTAAGGTTTTAAACTTTGGGGTTTTGATAAAATATAGTTAATATTCCTTTATTTTATAAAGAAAACATCAAAACTAAGTACTGTAATGCTTTCTCTCTCCTGTAGGAGAACGGCCACATGATCTTAAGATTTTTTGGTACCTTTATCATAAAAAAATTCTCTATAAGTACTAAAAAAAAATTTGGTATGTTGGAGGGTTAAGGATGTCTATGGCCACATAACTAATATAACTTAAAAAAGAAATTATGTCACATTTTGGTTTAATGTACTTAGTAAATAACAGCCATCAAGATGTTGTTTTTAATAAAAGACACTTCTCTCAATGATCTTTTGTAAAGACATCAACTGCTCCTTTATACACTGTTTTAGTATAGATTTTGTTTAAGAATATGACCATTTGAAATAAAAAAGAGCTATTATTAAAAGCATTATTTTAGTAGAAGTTTGTGCAACAGTTACTCAATTGAAAAATATCATTATCATTGCCTACTTCGTGATCTTAAGTGAGGTAAGAGTCTATACAGGGGTGGGACCGCAAAATGTGAACGTTTTTGTTTTATTATAACTATTTTCTCGTTAGATGTAGTTGTACTCTCTCACTCATCAGAAAGTGTCTAAAGAGTTGGTCTAAACGTTGTAAAATGATCTACGAGAATCAAGGAGGTCAAATTGAACATTTAAAATAGTTCATATTTAACAGAAAATTAATTATTACAATCAGAAAAGTGTTCACATTTTGCGGTCCCACCCCTGTATGACTGATACACAGTTTTCATTTATGTTTACAATATAATGGCAAATCAGAGTGTTGCCTAATATGGTCTTGCCATAAGCTCACGTTGTATCTTTTTCATTTTATATTGCAATTTACTAATTAAATTTACAACTAAGAGTTATTATTTTTATTATTATGATTATTATTGATATTTGTTACAAACAAATAAATTTAATTGGATCATTATGGGTCATGTATTCTTATATTAGAGAAAATATACATTACACAGAGAAACTGTAAAGATCTAGATAGTATACAAGAATATTCTCTAAATGCAAAAAAAGTAAAAAATGCCATTTTAATGATCTGTGTTATTTTATATAAATGTCATCTGTTTTTATTACAGTATGGTGATCATAAAGGCAATAGTGATACTCAGTTCAGCCAAAAGAAACATCAAACATAACCAAGCAACCAACAATATGAGCAAGGTAATCATGATTTGAAACTATAAGGACTATATATATATATATGTACATACACTCACAAATAAATATATATTTCAAGCAAATTAAAAAAAAAAATGCAGAGTACAATATATATGTATATAAACACATATTTGTGTGTGTGTGTGTGTGTGTGTGTGTGTGTGTGTGTGTGTGTGTGTGTGTGTGTGTGTGTATTTAACACATAAAAAAGTAACAGTCAGAAAAATAATAAAATATCAATGCTGTAAGATTTAATTAGAATTAATTAGTAAAGTAATGCAGGTGAAACTCCATTCCAAGGGCTGAAAAAGATTCACTAATGATGTTTCAGATGATTTTTTCAATAATGTTTTTATCTTTGCTTGTAGCCCACATGATTTAAGTCATAATTTAATTAAAACAGACTACAGAAAAGCTAAACACCCAAACATCCACTACAGAAAAGCTAAACACCCAAACTTCTCTTAAATAGTGCAAAAAAAACAAAACAATTTTAGGATACAGAGACAAACTCAAAATATACTCTATAAAATATGTAATAAATATTAACAATATATATAATTAAAACATAGGTATTACTGATAAATTGTAAAAAATACATAATAGCATTATTTTTCACTGCATCTAATAAACGTATATAGTAATAAACAATAATAAACATATATAGTAATAAACAAAAAACAAAAAGAAAAGGTACAAATTAAGAGATAGATAAGTAAAGGAATCTAACTTAATGAGCAAATTTTATTAGTACAACTTAACTTTATTAGTACAAATCGCATCTTCACTTACACAAAAAATTAAATAGGTATATCAATGAAAATTAGATTTACAGAAAGCTATTAATAACAAAAAGTGTTTAATTTGAACAAAAATAGCAGCACAACTAGTTGCAGTGAAGTTGCAGCAACTAGTTGCAGAAACTGAACAAAGACACAAAATAAAAAGATCGTTATTGAAGTGTTAACAATAACAAAATGACTTAGCAACGTCATACAATGAAAATACAATATAAAAAATCTAAGTAATCTGACTGACCAGAAATCTCAGAGAATTTGATACCTAAATGATCAAATGTACACACTAGTCACCATAAAATCACAAACCTTTACTTTTTGTTAAAAGAGCTTTAAGATATTTGAATTCTGATGTCATAAATGAGATTACATTTTTAACAAGCAAGACTAAATTTTAATTAAATTGAAAAATTTTAAATAAATTATTATTTATTAGTGAATTAAAAAATGATGCTTAATTGTTGCTCTTATTATTCTACAAGAATTGTTCTAATTTATAACTTTATTTAAAGCATTACAATTTAAAATTTGTAATATTTGTTTTAAAATAATTTTAATATTTTGAGTTTATTAAAAAATATTAAAATCTCATGATGTCAGAATTTAAATATGTAAAAGCTTTTAACTTCATCTTTTTACGAAGACTATTCCAATGTCATTTTAGGTCAGCTGATAACCTATGTCTAATTTAGTGATAACACCTAAGTATAATTGATCTCTAATTTTTATTCTTTAACTTTATATATCCCATCTTGGTCTTCATTTAAATATTTATTAGAAATATTTTATTAAAAATATTTTTACAACTAAATTGCGGAAACATTTTTTCAATTGAGTTTACCAATTCACTTTACCAATTAATTTCTTACTAAAGTTTGAAGTTTATTCCAATATAAGATTTTAAAAATTTATTATCATATTATTATTATTATTATTATTATTACTATTATTATTATTATCATTTAGTTTGCTGTTACCAGTATACATTATTTGTATTTAAAACAAATTTAAACTTGTGTTTTCTACTTCAACCCTTTATTAACTCATTAAAAACTTAAGTTTATAATAAAATCTTAGAACCTTGGGTAGACCATTTTAGAAATGGAAGACAAAAGTTTTATTTACTTAACTTTAGTTCTAAAAGAATAATAAGTTATAATACTAAAACATAGACTAAAGAATTTATAATCTTCTCATTAGCTCTGCACCAAATTAAAATAAATATAAAGTATAAACTTATGCTTGTATAGTGTTGTTTATAAATATATAAACCTTTATTTAGTTTAATTTTGTTTAATATGTTTTAAACTTTTTTTACCTTGAAAAAAAAAATGAATATGTTAGTATGTTAAACTTCATACCTTTTTAAGATTTTTTTATATATAAGTTTTTCATTAAAAAAAAAAGGTTGTTAAAATGTACTTACAGGAAATCTGTCATAAAAAGAGTCAATAAAAGCATTGATTGTGATACTTTTGGTAGCAATAAAACTTTTAACATCTGTTTTCAGTCCTATTAATAAACCTGATAACACAAAACCATAGCCAGTCAACACCTTTGAATCAATGAAAGTTATTTTTAGGGATTTACTTTCAAGAACAGTTTTGTAATCCAATAATGAAAAAGTATCTACATAAACCAAGTCCACAACTTTTTTTTCCAAATCGCTCAACATCACTTCAACACTATTGTAATTGGTTTCTAAATACATTAAAAGTACAACTTTAAATTATTTTACACATTCAAGTTCACATTTATTGCATTGCGTTCTATAACATTAAATATAGCAATAACAATTTAATATAAACACGAAATCAAAATGTCATTATCATTTTTATTATTATGATTATTATCATTGTTATTATTGTTATTATTGCTATTATTGTTATTATTATTATTACTGTTATTATTTTGAATAGTGGCAATATTTAAACTGAAAAATATTTTTAATCCTTATCAGTTATATACATATATTCAATCTTTTTTAAATATATACAATTCTTTTTTTAAATTTTATTATTCCATCTTTTTAAAATAATACCAGGGGAGAACATGGCCAAAAAGCATTTATTTGAAAAAAAACATTGTTTAAGCTTATACTCAATTCCGCCTAATGCAGTTATTTGGAGAAAAAATGTGTGTTTCCTATATACAGCAGTTTCCTTGCTAACATTTAAAATATGGAGAATTATAGAAAATTTGCTTCTTTATTAGAGAAAGCTTCTAATCCTTTTCAAACTTTGAGTTTGAAGAAAATTAGAAGCTCTAATAAAGAAGAACTTTCTAATCTTCTTCAAACTCAAAGTCAAAGCACAAATACATGTAGGCAATCAGATTTTGCTCAAAAATTTCAACATTAAAATGAGCTGGAGATATGCTTTATCAAAGTGGTTCATTGAGTTTATTTAGGCTCTCTAATTGAAATAAAAGATTATAGTTGTCAGCACCATATAACGCTCAAAGAGCTTCAAATAAGTAATCAAAATATAGGAAAAAATAAATAAAGTCAAAAACTTTGGAATTTGCATTAACTTCTTTAAAAAAAAAAAATCCTTAATTGGTATTCTATTATTGCAAATGGAGTTTTGATTATCAATGAAAATGATACTGAACAAGTAACAAGAGAAAAAAAAATAAAGTCATTGCATGAAAAGTTTCCTTTGATATTAAAGTTTAATTCGATTTTATTTAAGTCATGAAAAAATATTTCAAAATCAAATAAATGCTCAGATATAGATTACCCATATACTGTTGTAAAAAAATTAGCCGGATATAACCTTTATGGTTGCATTTAAAAGAAAACTGCATTGTTGATAGTGTTGAATTTCCATGAACATCTTTTGTAGCAAACAGTTCACAATTCAAGACCAAGAAAAAGATTGTAAAGTTGATTTTGAAAACAATGAAACACAATAAATTAAATAACTTCCATCAACTTCATTTATAGCAAACAGTTTAAAATTAGTTAATCAAGAAAAAGTTAATGACATTGCTTTTAAAAGCAATGAAATCCAGGAAAATAAAGAAAATAATCTGTATGATCATATAAAAATTATGGGAAAATTTTAGATAAAAATGTTGAGATTTCTTAAATGCAAATAGGGATTTAAGAAATTTAAATGATCAGATATCAGAAATTTAAATGATTCAAAGAATAAAAGCTTCTCAACAACTGTTGTGATCATTTAATGTGAATTTTACTGCAAAGATGCTTTTTAAATAATTGAAGCCAAAGTTTTTTTTGCAAGGTCCAGCAGTTTTATTGAAAGAAAAAGAGATCTATTTTTCTATTTTGGTGAAATTTTTTTTTTAGTTTTAACATTTTTGCTTCCAACAAGGCTGCAAGCAACCATTATCAGAGTTGGAAGTTACTGAAAGAGAAAAGATGAAGTTTATAGAGCAAGATAACAATTGACAGACTAATTAAAAGATTTCAAATTATATGAATACGAAAAGCAATATGAAGGAAATGAATTCCAAAGAACTGATGCTTGAGGAAAAGAAACAGGCGAACAAGGATGAGACTTTATTAAATGCCACAGAAAAAGGATGAGACTTAATTAAATGACAAATAACACAAGAATGAATTTTAATAGATGGCACAAGAGACGCTAACTCTTTAGAGCAGTACCCGTTGTAGTATTTGTAGAAAAGAAAAAGATAAGCAACATTACAATGATGTGATAACGATTGGAGGTTATACCCTTTCTCTTTTAGACAAGGTGCAAAAGCGCATTGTAAACTATGTTTACAATGCGCTTTTGCACCTTGCCTAAAAGAGAAAGGGTATCATTAGAAGATCCGCCCCAGATATGGCAAGAGTATTCCATGCAAGGACGGATTTGAGATTTATTGAGATAAAGAATAGAATCTGGAGTAAGAAAGTGTTGAGCACAATAAAGAAAGAGATGCAACCTTAGCAGATGCTAATTTTGCAATTGATTTGATATATGGTTTCCAAGAAAGATTGGAAATAAGAGTTAATCCTAGAAGATGAAGGGTAGATGACTTATTGAGTACATTACTGTTCATATATATAGGAAGATCTAAAGATCTATTGTGATAACTATTGGTTAAAAAAAAATTGTGTTTTATCTGAATTAAAGTTCACCAGCCACTGTGAGCCATATGCTGTAGCATGTAAGACCGTTTACAAGTTCAAATGCCCCCTCCAAGTAATCAGAGAGTGTTGGTTTCTTATCAAAACAAGAACAGACGGTAGTATCATCAGAAAACAATGCCAACTAAGATATTAAAAGTCCAGAAGATTGTTAATGTAAATTAAAAAGAGTATAGGGCCTGGATAAAACCTTGAGGAACCCCTGAGGTTACAGTATATGAAGAAGAGTGCTGTCCGTTGAGGGCAACTTTTATACTACAATTGGTAAAAAGGATTCAATAATCTTAAATAAGTTACCTGATACACCGTAAGATGAAAGCTTATGGAGAAGACCATGCCAAACTTTATCAAAAGTTTTAGAAATGTCAAGAGCAATAGCCTTAACCTTTCCACCTCTATCTAATACATGATAAAAGCTATCGGTTATTACTGTTAGCAAATCAGCTGTTTTTAAATGCTACAAATAATATATATTATTTAGGTTAGCAGTGGTAGAAGAGAATGTATTTCATTGGCTAATATTCTTACTTTTGCCACTTGTGCTTTCACTTGGGTTTGAATTGTAATCAAATTTATTCCTTCTATTGAACCTAATGAAAAAGTAAAAAATGAAAAGATAAAACTTAACTTTTGTTAACAATACTTTAACAGAAGAGTTTATGGAACTTATAATCAAAATAAAGATAAAAACCAAGAAGTTTTATCTTTATTTTGATTATAAAATGATTTTTAGGAATTTCTACTTATTATTCAGGCAAAGTAAATTTTCAATAACAAAATAATTCATTGCAACAAGATTTTTTTTAAAATTCATGGTGTTTTAGGTCACAACATTTGTTTCAATTAATTCTTTAATTAGTACAGCAAATTATTATAAAGTTATATGAAACAAGAGTTTACTACAACTATATAAATTAATATTATAGTATATCATTAGTATATAAACAATCTATATCAATATAATTAGAATATAAACTATTACACTGAAAATAAAAACTCATGACTTTGACCAATCATAGCACTCACCATTGCATAAAAATTAACTAGCCATTTATACTTGTAAACATATTTTTATATATAACACCATATTGCGTCTCAGTCTTGGTGTTCATGTGGAAGAGTTCTTGATGAGATGTCCAGGAAAAGTTGTTATGGGATACTTTATACTAAAGATACCTTAGTATGCACATAAGTATCTTTATACCAAGAGTATGATGGATAGTGGTTGTGGTCTTTATTTTCTTATATATATATTTTACTAACAGATATCTTTTCATTATACTGTACTTTTGAAAAAAACTGCACAGAACAATGTAAGATGTTTTAAAGAAGCATATTGAGTTAAAAAGATGTAAGCAGAGTTAGATAATAACAAAAATAGATAGATGTCTTACATTATTTTTATATAATTTTATATGAATCTTAGTTTTAATAATAATAATATTTTTTTTATTCACTTAAAAAAATTATAATAATTTAATAGTTGTCCTGAGAATTGATTATGATAACAATTACAGTTTTTTTTATTTAAATTGAAAGTTTATAATAACTTAATGTCCTCTGTCTTGGTTTTGATAATAAAAATATTTATTTTATTTACATGAAAAAAATTATAATCATTTAGTTGCTTTAGTTGCTTTAATCGTTTGATTTTGTCACATGGTTTATTATTATCTAAGCTTCCAGCTAATTGTAACTTTGATGTATATGATATAGCATTTACTAAAAACTTATTTGAGACAATACTATTTTTTGTGCAAAAGTTTAAAGTGTTTTTCCATGTTCAATTATGTGGGAAAAATATGTAAAAAATATTAAGAGGCAGTAAGCAACATTGGAGAGCATAAGTAGCATTTTTATTATCCTTTTATTTACACGGGTAAATACCTTTTTTTTCCAGGAATATTAAATATATTTGAAAAAGATTGCACATACTGAAAAAGCTTGAACATATTTGAAAAAACTAAATATATTATTATTATTTTTATTATTATTATTCACCTCCTCAAGGCCAAGAAGGCCACTACAGATGAGGCTACTTAATAGTGGTTATAATCCTCTCTCAACTCTATAACTCCAAAACATGAACCTTAGCCAACAAGCCCGCTGCGTGGAGAAACAAGTTGAGTGTGGTACTATCTCGGAACCTCTACACCATTTACCACTACACCACTACCACATTTACCGGAAAATATTGACTACATATTTGAAAAAGGTTGCATGTATTTGAAAAACATTAAAGTTTATTTAAAAAACATCAAATATATGTTTGAATATTTGAACATATTTAAAAATATTGAATATTTATTTGAGAAGGATTGAATACTTTTTCTAGTTTCAATGTTGGTACAATATGGCAGGCATAGGATAAAGCAGCAAAATAAAAGTATAAAAAAAAATTAAAAAAAAATGATAATTAACTTTTTTGGGTACTAAGAACTTTTTTATTACCCAAGGGTACTAAGGAGAGGAACCAAGTTTTTTTTAAAGAAAAGTGATAGTTTTACTATAGCTGATTTATTGTTTGAAAAGTAAACTAAATACAATATATTTGCATCAATAGATGGATTCTTTAATACCTTTTTTGTAACATTATAAAATTTATTTCATAAACAATCAACAAGAAAAAATTTGTTTAACTAAATTTTGCTTTAAAATATCTGCTGAAGCACTATTGCTCATAACATATCAAAATTAATGGTGGTCTTCTCCATAAGCTCAGTTGATATTGGGTATCTGGAAAAACTTATAAATATATTGTCCTAATTTTATAATTATGATTAAAATTAAATTACAAATTTATTGAATCTTTATTTTAAAAAATTAGCTAATTAAATTACTTTCTAATTGCAGAGTTAATGATTAAATAGACAACATACTTTCTGGTAATTTTACCTCTAAAGCAGCCTTATGTATTTTCAACTATATTTCACACCTTACTTCTCATAGAAACCATCTAAACTATTTCAAAATTGTCTTTATCGTGATCATCACTTCTTATTATTTGATTTTATTCTTTACCTTTTTAAATTTCTTATTTGTCCCTATATGAAATACTGCTTTGATATTTTATTATATGAAATACTGCTTTCATATATCCTTATATGAAATACTACTTTCTTATGTTCTTCTTATGATAGTTCTTCTAATGCCTATTTGTCATTAATCAAGTTGAAAAAATGCAAATGTAATGTATAAGTGTAATGTAAAAAAAAAAAACATACTGTAAATGTATACCTGTTTTAGCTAACTGCTAGAACAAGTATACATGATTGAAAAAGTATGCGTGATATCCTGATTTAACATCATAAGCATCTCTTTTTCATTTTATAAATACTACCATGGTCACTGCTCAAGCAAGAAACTGTCTCTTGTTCTAATAACCAAAAGTAAATTTCACATGACACATTATTCAGTAAAGTTATATATTTATATATATGTAATTGTTTATTAGAGTAAAAAGTACCACATACAAAGTCACATATTATGGAAAATCTAGTAAAATGTAGCAATAAATCTGGTGAAATGTAGCAATAAATGTAATAAAGTAAACTGCTGCTTGTCAAATGTCTATTTCAATAAACTAATATAACAATTATTATAATCAAATGCAGAATATAAATTATGGGATTTTTTGAAACTTTTTTTCCAATAACAATAAATTGCTCTAATACTACCAATAGAAAAATAATATGAAAAGTATTCTAAAAATAGTTTAAACCACAACTGATTCAAAAATTCTTTGCCCAAACTTGTTTTCTGCAAGATGCTTAAGATTTTCAAAAAATTAAATGTTATTTAACAACTACTAGCAACAATATCCATTTAATAAACACAAATAAAGTACAGGCAGTAAACTATTTTAATACAATATTACACAAAACTAGATTAAAGTATAGTACAGCATCTAGCTGTACTATACTTTAATCTAGTTTAGCTAACTGTAAGATTATCAATCAAAAATTGATTGATAATCTTACAGTTATATAAACAAATATAAATTCATACGGTTTTTTTTTAAACAAGAAGGAAATAAAGAATAATAATTAAAAAAAAAGATTGCTGCCACAACCAAAACCCTTAATGGATGTAAAAGCACATTGTTGGATGTTTTCCTTATAAAGTCAGTCGATGTACTGGAGCCCTTAAAAGAAAAGTTAAATAAAAAACAGAAATATAAATCACATACAACAACACTATCACTACAACAACACTATCACATACAACAACACTTTCACTACAACAACAAATAAGAATAGTCAAAAAATTAGAAAGTGTTCTTAATGAATGAACAATACTGAAATAAAACAATAGAAAAAAAGATTAAAAATAAGACAAAAAGAATATATGACAACATGAAACACAATAATTGAAATTCCGAATTGATTTAAAAAAAAAATGTTTTTTTTTAAACTTTAAATCTTTAACTTTTTCATTGTTTTTTTGTTTTACAGTAATGTTGTCACTCTACAGTAATGAATTTACTGTTAACTTTAGTACTGCAGTACTTTTAATTTAAAAAATATTAAGTAACTTTGTTTTAATTTGAACAACACATTTTTATAAAAATGATGTGTACAGTTTTTGTATAAATATTCATTTTAACAGTAATTTATTATCAATAATTTATTTATTAATTACATTACAATATTTTCATTTTTGCTACATTTTCAGTTCTTTAAAATGTAAAACTGAAACATATAATAATAAAAGTTATTATCATTAAGAACTATACAAAGTGAATTACTCAATAAATATCACTGTTATATATAAAAATATACAGTTATTACATTTTTGCTAATTTTACAACTTCTAAAGTTACAATTTAAAACTAATATCATATAAAAAAAAATATTTTTACGCAAACAAATTTCATTGAGAATAAATTAGATAACAATATCTTACTATTTGGCAAGATGCCATTTCTATTTATAACTGTTTTACGTTCAAAAGATCCATCCAATGCTGCAACCTAAATTTAAACTTTTAATAAAAACATTTTTAATGATTTTTTTAAGTCCAAATACTATTGCAGTCAACAGCTGTATGTAATCAACATAACAGCTACTTTGACTTAATAAAATGAATTTTTTCTGATCCTTCTTGACAAAAAGAAATTTAATATGTGAAGTAAACAGTAGTTATGTTGATTGCAGATATCTGCAATCTGCTTAAATTTATTAGCCTATTTATTTAATAGATGTACACGGTTGACCAAGGTTGACCAGCTAATGTTATAAAAATAAAATTTAAATTTCATATGATTATTTAGTCATATGGTTATTAAATAAATAAGATAATATGATTAGCAATGTCTATAGACATAAACATTGCTAATAATAGGCTATTAAATAAATAAGCTAATAAATTTAACAACATAAATGTTTCTGAAATGTTTTTATTAGATTTATAACTCAGCCTAAATTTAATGTAATAATTTATTCCACTAATCAAATTTTTACTTCTAAAAATAAAAATATTTAAAGTTCATAAAATTCAAATATTTAATAAAACAACACACAAATTACAACAGCAGCAACACAATAACAGATTACAACAGCAACATCCAACAACATGTTTAACAAAAACAACAACAACACATTACAACAATAACAACACAACAATATATTTAACAAAAATAACAACATATTAAAAAACAAAACATATTTAACATATTACAACTACAACAGATTTAAGACTTTACAACAACAATACAATGACAAGTTAGAGCAACAACACATTCAATACATTACAACAACAACACCTTTAATAAATTACAACAACACATTTAATACATTTCAACAATAAAATTACAACAATACATTTAAAACATTTTTACAACAAATTTAATACATTACAACAACAGCACATTTAATACATTACAACAACAGCACATTTAATACATTACAACAACAGCACATTTAACAGGGGAGAGCGGGGTTGGTTGTCACACTTTTTACATTTTAGGCTGCTCAGCTTTTAATTTTCATCCAATCAATGCCAAACTTTGCACAAAGCTAGTTTAACTATTTCCAGTAACTATTATAATATTTTTATGACATTGAGTGAAATATTTATTGCTGTAAAATCATTTTTCAAAGACCACTTCTGTGTGACAACTAGCCCCGCTCACGGGGTAGGTTGTCACATGGTGCGGGGTTGATTGTCACATTTGGATTTTGACAAGTTTAGATAAGAATTTAATGTAAAACGAGTACAAATTAATTTCGTTTTATGTTTTACTAAGAAAAATAAAAATAAAATACTATAAACTGAAATATATATATTTTAAATATAACACAATTAACAAATTTAGTTTATCACTATAAATATTTTTAGGTTTGGTTTTTTAAAAATTATTGGATAAAGAACACAATTCACAAATAAACTGTTGTAAGCCTGGTGTGCATTCTTCATGAGCCCGTTTTTGGCAAACCTGACATTGAATCCACTGTTTTCTTGATCGGCTGTTGGAAAATGATTCAAAACAATAGATGCACTAAATATAAACAATGCACAAACAAAGCAACAGACAGTTTTACAAACTAATTAACAGCTAGTTGTTTAGTTTGTAAACAAAACAATAAACAGTTGAACTTCTGCAATCCTTTTTCTATAATTATACTAAACATTGGATCGGAATCTAAAGTTATGCACGTTGAAATAAAAATAATTTAGATTACAGATATTTAGTTAAACAAATATAACACTTTGACTTTAGATTTTTAAATAATATCTTAAACATTAAAATATTCTTCAATAATGCGGAAAATAAACAAAGCCAATAAAAAATCTGCAAGCGGAGTTTAATTTGCAGCGCATGGAGTCGAGGCAAGTGTGACAACCATCCCCATATATTTTGTGACAAGCAACCCCTTCTGAGTAAGTTGCTGGACACCTGTACATTTACTTAAAAGCGTTCTAATTTCATGATAATTTTTTACGGATTAAGTTACTCAAATGAATAAAGTACTTTATAAATCTACATTCAAAACACAATAAAATAATTTTCGTTTGGTAAAAGAAAATTTCTGAGTAAGCGAAATTTTACTTTTCATATCAAAAACCTTTAAAAACGAATAACTTTTCTTCTGCACGCTAAAAAAAGATAAAAATTACTGTAAAAATGTTTTTTTTATATAACATTTCCATTGCATAATTTGAAATTTCTATATCTTATTTACATTTCCTGTAATAAACTTTGTGACAACCAACCCGCGTGACAACCAACCCCGCTCTCCCCTACATTACAACAACAACGCATTTAATACATTACAACAACAACACATTTAATACATTACAACAATAACACATTTAATACATTACAACAACAACACATTTAGTACATTACAACAACAACACATTTAATACATTATAACAACAACACATTTAATACATTATTACAACAACACATTTAATACATTACAACAACAACACATTTAATACATTACAACAACAACACATTTAATACATTACAACAACAACACATTTAATACATTACAACAACAACACATTTAATACATTACAACAACAACACATTTAATACATTACAACAACAACACATTTAATACATTATAACAACAACACATTTAATACATTATTACAACAACACATTTAATACATTATGACAACAACACATTTAACTTGTTTCAACTACAACACATTTACTCTTGATTTCTTAATACAAGAAGGAAGTGGGTGGGTGGTTTGAAATAAAAAAGGAGGGGGTGGGAAATTTAGTCTAGATTTATTAAACAAGGAGGTTTTAATAAAAAGAGTAGGTGCGGGTAATTTTTTATGTTACAGTATAAGTTCAAACTAATATTTTTTACAAAACATGCATAAAACTATTCAATTCTAGTGTAGCCTGTGGTCAAATGCGCATTTTATAACAGCTGTTTTATAATAATTAAATAGGATACACGCTGATATAAGTTTGGGGTGGGTGAGAAAATTTTTCAAAAATTAACAAACACCCCCTCCCCTTTTATTTAGGGCTCGAGAGTAACACCATTTTAAGTTTAATACTAAGTTAAAATCAATAAAAATAATGATTATTAAAATATGTTTTGAAAATACTTTTTAAATTATTTTTTATTATTTTAAAATACTACTTTCAAAAACATAACTCATTTTATAAATTTAAAAAAGATTTGTTTGCTTAAGTGGTGATTATTAAAAAATGTTTTGAATAAACTAAAACTATTTTAAGTTACAAAAGTAAAAAAAAATCATTAATATTTTTAGTTATTAAAGAATCAGTATAGACATAGACATTGTTAATAACTTTTTTAATGACATCAGCTTTTGGTTACAAACAATGTGGGTTAAAGATTACAAAATTTCTAAAAAAAACTTGCCATGCACCAGTTTGTCATTTCAATTAAATAAGTCAAAACAAGTAAAAAAAAAAAAAATTCAATTTGAACCTTCAGAACTTTAGGTATTTAGGTCCCAATCTTAACATTCTTATCAACAATACAAAATATCTATAAATCAACATGGGACATTTATTAAAAAAATGATGACAAAATATTGAGTCTTGGATGACAAAAACTAATCTGAATTTAAGTTAAGAATTTTTTTTATCACTACATTTTTTAAAATATGATAATAATTTTTTTTTTCATGTGAATTAACATTTGTTATTTTTTTAAGTCCAGTGCAGTGCTACCAGAAAATAGTAATGCAAAGTGGTCACTTCAAGCTCAAATTTTTTACAAAAAAAAAAATTAAAGTTAAAAATTAAACTTTTACTTTTGTACCATACATAATAATGTCATCAACATTTGTGATGGATGTAAGATTAGTAACAATGAAACCAATAATTATACTGTTAAGAATTATTCCAATAATGAACCAAATCATTGAAATTATTCTTCCCAAAATAGATCGAGGAACCAAATCTCCATAACTAGAAAGTGTAAATAAAACAAAATGGTAGATCAACATTATATAAAAGTGTTTAGAAAGAAGATCAGTTTTAATCTTAGGAACTCAAAACATATTAATTTACTAATAGTAATTTACTAATAGTAATTAATTTACTAATAGTAAATAGTATGTAAAAAAAAAAAAAAATTTAATTTTTTATGCTGTCAGCATATTATCATGACAAACTTAAATTAGTTAAAAAAAATATTTTAATAGCCTTAATATTTTTTGTATGAAAAATAAATAAAAATAAAATAAATAGAAATGCATCAGGAAGAAAAAAAGAACATCTAAACTAAAAAAAGTAGAAACTGTAATAAACAAGATAAGAAATTTTTATTTTTTACATTTTTTTTTTCATATTAATTTATCTCCCATTATTATTATTATAATGTTTCTCATATGCAAGGTATACTAGGTAAACTATGTATGGGATACCACGGTATGTTAAATGTATTCTATTTTCTCCTGGTAAATATAAATTTTATTTTTTGAACATAGTTCAAAAAATAAAAGTTACAAATAATAAATTTTATTTTTTGAACATAGTTCAAAAAATAAAATTTATTATTAAATTCTATTTGGATAACATTTTAATTTAAAACAATTTATTATTAAGTTCTATTTGGATAACATTTTAATTTAAAACAACTTAATAAGAAAGTAATATATATATATATATATATATATATATATATATATATATATATATATATATATATATATATATATATATATTAAGTGTATAATATATATATACACAATATATATATATATATATATATATATATATATATATATATATATATATATATATATATATATATATATACATATATATATATATATATATATATATATATATATATATATATATATGTATATCCTTAAAAAATATGCTTACCCAACAGTTGTCATAGTGACTAATGCAAACCAAATGCCAGCCAAAGGTCCTTTCCGTGCATTTCCAATTATAAATTGATCAGGATTCGAAAATTGATCCTAAAAAAAATATTCATTATGCGTAAATTATGCTTGAAACCACATTTTAATATAGTCTCAAGCATATAATACATGTAAATCCATATATTGATGGGACAGATAAAAAAAAAAATGATAAGAAAAAACTTACAACAAACCAAATCACCATACCAAAAGCTGATGCAATCAAAAAAGTGATTAATAATAATGGCCATACAGTAAAAATCTTTATAGCAAGTCGTAAAATAGTTGATTCAATTGTGTTTTCATTTCGAACAACACCAGCAATTCCAGGAGAATTTAAAAGTATAACAAATGTACTGTTTGGTGAAAAACTTTGATCAATTTTTCCATATATAGGAAAACTTAAATCAACATCACCTTTAATAGATGCTTTTAATTCAAACTCAGACTTTTTGATAGGATTCCCATGTTTAGACCTTCTAAAGTGCAGAGTAGAGTACTTATTGGAGTAGCTTTTGCATGTACCACATGAGAAAAAAAAAATTTCTTGTAACAAGGATATAAAAAGGCTATTGTCATTCGTAGAAGTAAAAGGTTCATTTATATACCAGTTAGTAAAAATGTTCTCTGGACATTTGCATGTTTCTATAGAAAAATTTATAGATAATTCAAAAAATATCATTTTAATTTTAACAAACAATATATTTATACTTAAATAATCTAACTGTAAATATAAACTGAACTAATTTTTTATTCTTTGGTTTATTTAGATTTTCAATTTAATTAATTTTAATTAGTTTGTTTCATTATATTTTTGTTTCGTTTGTAGTTTTTTATTTTTTAGAAAATTCTTTTTGCATTTATTGTTTCCTTAAAAATTCATTTTTTATAAAGTGATAGAAAAGAATATCTCATTACACATAGATATGTGTAATGAGATATAGAAACATAGAACAAGAAACTTTTTAAATTTTTTCCATAACTTTTTGAAGCTACAGTAAAGTATTAATATTAAAGATTATTTGAGACTTGGATTTTCGTTGTTGATATAAAAGTTTTTAACCAAAATCAAAGTTTATAAGCTGTCAAAAAGATTTAGCAAGCTATGAATACTTAGGGAAGTTAATTAAGCTATAAATTGTCATGGAAATGATCAACTAATACCAGATTAGCTTGTCAGACTATAAATTGTTTTCTATCAGTATGCTAAAAACTTACAGCAAACTTATTTATTATTCTATTTTAAACAAAAATAAGCTTCTAGAGTACTTCAAGAATGACTTTAAAAACGAAACTGTAACCTTGTAATTTTCTCAATAAATCAATTTTATTTACCACAGAAAATCAGCCTCTAGTTACAGCCAAAAAAATACTAACTTGCTTCAAACTCTTTGACTGGGCCATTCCCAAATGAGGTAAAAGCTTCAATGCTTAATACATAAGTGGCATAATTTAAAAGATTTTGTTCTTTATAATAACGTGTAAATGGATCAAAATTTATAACTTTTCTTATCTTTTCTCCAATAACTTCTACTCCAAATTGAGAATTTAGGTAGTAAGTAAGTCGATATCCACGCAAAACTCCATTAATGTACTCTGCTGGAATAGGATCCCATGATACTGACCACCAATCAATTGATTGCATATCATTTATAACAATGTTTGGAACTAGGGCAGATGGAGCTAAATTATGAAATAAATATACCAAGACATCTTCAAAATTCAAAACATACATTGGTGGGTAGGAGGTTTTAGGTTTTGGTATAAAACAAACATTGGTAGGTAGGAGGAGGTTTTAGGTGTTGATACAAAATAAGTAGAAAAACAAAAGAAATAAATAATTCAATTTAAAATTCAAGATAAAAAATAAAAACTAATAGTATTAATTAGTAGATTACCATCTTCTAAAGTTTTACACATAGAGTAAATTGACGGACCAGCACCAAATAAGTTGTAACCATAAACATCTACATAATACAGAGTAAAAGGTTTTAATGCTTTTAAAATGAATGCATTAAAACCATATTGTGCATCCACTGTGTTTAACGGATCATTTGACCAGTAAACTTTATACCTTATTTTATAACCAAGTATTTTACCATTGCGATATTGCTCTGAGATATCTGTCCATTCCACATATATCTCAGTTGACTTCATTGATTTTACAGTAATATTTGCTGGTTTTCTATCAGGAGCTTAAAACCAAAATAAATAAAAAAATTAAAGACATTTAAGATATTTATTGTTTAAGAGTGTACAGTCCTCTAAAACTGAGGGAAATCTTAAAGAAAATGCTTTTATTAAAATAAAATATATTTAATAAAGAAAGGTTAATAAAAAAATTTGTATGATAATTTTTAATTGCTGGTAAATAATAAATATATTTTTGTTTTTGTTCTTACTTGTATGACTGTTTTATTTGTATTTTTTTAAATGAATATAAAACAATGATGAAGCACTAATAGAACTTTTATTTAAAATAAGTATGTTGTAAATTAATATATTATTTATAATTTATTTATTTATCAGTTATAAATTTAATGGTAAATTTAAATGGTAATTTAATTTAATGGTAATTTTAAAACGTTGAAAAAGATTTATTTACTTTATTTAGTTTACAAAAATGTCCAGAAACAAGTAGAATGCCCATGAATAAAAATTGAAGATATACAAACATCATCATCATGAATGTTCTTTCACTGCTTAAAATCAGCTTTAAAAATCTTCATAAGACGAATAGAAGATGAGTGAAAAACAAGTTATAACAACCACAAACCTTCCTTCAAAAACAAAATGTAACATAAAGCAACCTCCCTATTCAGCCCTATCCATATTTGAGATATAAAAATAAGTATAACATAACCACCACCTTTGTCTGGTCTATTTTAAAATCTCTACCCTCTCATTCAAATATTTTTAAAATGTATGTCACTTTTGTCTAAGTGAAAAACTTGCAATTATTTCTTACTCAAAACCGGAAAAACAATAAAATAAAACTGAACTTATGTCTAAATTCAGATTTATTTTATTCTAATTTAGTAAATTTTATATATAAATTATATATAAAATTTACTAAAGACTACATAGTTGCAAGCCTAATTAACCAATAGCATTCAATAATGGAGTTTTGAATATATTTATATAAACAGCTTTTGTGTAACTATCAAACACTCTTAATTCTATACAATATAGTAATGATAATTATATATAAAGGCAAAATATCTGTGCTGGAAACACATTAAACAAACACATGTTGTGTGGATGATTGTGTAGTTATTAACTAATAAAAAATCTCATATGCTCTTTAAACATCTTACATATGTAACTCAATTATTCTAAAGTTTGAGGACAATATCACTTGCTAACTTTATTGGTAGACAGCTAGTCAAAACAAAATATTATTACACATTTAGAGATGTCTGAGACAACTGCTCATGATATCATTAAGCGCAAATCAACTGATGACATTAATTCCAGAAAATCCTAAGGAAAAACAACAATTACTTCTCTAAAAACGAAAAACACACCACTTTGCTGTGAAGAACATGCAGATTTGATGTTCGAAAATTATTTACCAGCCTCCTAGAATTAATTTTAATGTCCAAACAGTTCAAAGGCATCTTGTCAATGACTTTAATCATGTGCTGCATTAAAACCATGCTTTATCAGAAAAATATTTATTATTGCCTCAATTTTTTAAAGAACACAAAGATCGGACTGTTAAAATGTATCAAAATGTTATGTTGTAAGACAAAGAGCAAGTTGAGCTGCTTGTAGCACACAAAGTCAATATTCACTGGCCAATAAACTTAGGCTTTAACATTGCACCTTCAGTTAAGTATTGTCTAGCAATTATAATTTTGAATGCAATTACTGCCAAAAGTTGTCTAGCAATTATAATTTTGAATGCAATTACTGCCAAAAGTTGTCTAGCAATTATAATTTTGAATGCAATTACTGCCAAAAGTTGTCTAGCAATTATAATTTTGAATGCAATTACTGCCAAAAGTTGTCTAGCAATTATAATTTTGAATGCAATCACAGCCAAAAGTGGTCTAGCAATTATAATTTTGAATGCAATCACAGCCAAAAGTGGTGCTGGTTTACACCTTCTACAAATAAGCAAGAGTAAAAACCTGCAGATTATTTAGAAATATTATAGAACAATACGCAAATATACAACATTTTAATGAAGAACAGGGCAACTGACATCAGGCACAAATTGTCAGAACATGATTCCAATATATATATATATATATATATATATATATATATATATATATATATATATATATATACATATGTATATGTATATATATATATATATATATATATATATATATATATACATACATAAAATTATTTTTGTTTTTATTTTAATTATTATTATTTTTTATTCTAATTTTTTTATTTGGAGAGTTATTATGTACTTTTTAAGCATTTAAAAAAAAACGTATATATCAAAAAAATATTTTTTTGATATATGCATTTTTTTTAATTAATTAAAGTGTAATATACAATTCTTATGCTTTGTTAGACAAAATAATTCTAAGCTGGAAGTTTATCAAATTTAATTTTAAAAAATGTTAAAAAAATCTTGAAGAACCTTGATTATTTTTCATTAATAATCAACTGACAACAAAATATAAAAATGATAATATATAAATTATTATAATAATTTATATTAAAAACTTTTGAGAAAGTTTTTTTCCTGAAGTTTGGAAGATTGCATAAAAATGTCTTTTATAAACTTCAATTACAGTGTGTTGTAACATTATTTGTTACAACACGCTGTATTATAAAGTATTTTTGTTTTAATATTATTAATTTTAAATGTTAAAAAAAAAATTACTACTAAAATGTTAAAAACCTTTTCCAGGAGCTTCAAAATAAAATACTTCACTTGGAAGACTATTCCCATTGGGCATCGCAACCAACATGTAAGCTTTGTATTGATGCATTGGAGCAAGATTATTCAAAAACAACTCACGACTATTTGAGGATACTCCTTTCCATTCCCAGAAAGATTTTTCTAATGTTTGATCTTTTAAATAGATATACAACCATAATAATGTGCTTTTACATTTGTTTCGTAACCATGTCACCACTACAGCACTTTCATTATATGTAACAGAAATATTGTATGGAGGTGGGCAATTAACTAAAGTTTAGATTTGATATTTCAGAAACATAAATGCTAGAATAAACACCCAATTCTAATTCAAAATGAAAAAAAAGCAAGTTACCATCTAATGAAGAGAAATAAGTATTACTAATAGCTACATTCATTAATTTCCCAGTTGAACTAACGCCATCAAGATATTCGACCATTTGACCATATAAAAAATCAAACAACAGCATATATTCCACAATAACACTACCTGACCTAAAAAAGCAACATTATAGGCATAGTGTCATTTCTATAAATTTTAATTTGTTAAAATCTGCTAAAATATAAACAACTATTGGATTGTCTTTTTACATAAATAAATAGATTGCTGGTAAAATAATAACAACAAATGCATAAATACATTAGGTAAACTACTAAAGTAAGTTAAGTATGAAACGTTTCTTTAATATCTATGGTAATATATGATATTTTATAACTATAAAACTTCTGATTAGAAATAGAGCAGTTTAATAGAAAATTGATTGCTATCAACTGTTGTGTGTTTTTTAAATTAGAGTAATAAATAAATGTAAAAATAACAATTATAAAACAAAGATTTAAAAAAAAACTTTGTTGGCATTATTGCTACCCAAGAGACAGCTTTAAAATATAAAAATATAAGCTATAAAACAATATAAGATGCAAAAGTAAAAACTAACTAAAATATTTTTGAAAAATTTAAAATTATTATTATTTTAAATTATAAAACCCATTAAATTGTTTCTTAAACTTTATTTTAAATTCTTTAACTGTAGTGCCTCCTTAGACTTGTAAAGTTAAGTGAGCGAAAAAAGATTATATTGCATTTTGTTATTATCCAGGCAATCCTACAATACAAGATTTTACAAAAGAAGTGATAATAAAAATCATGTATTACATTTAGAGTTGTTTAGTATATTTTTAATTCAATATATATAATATAATAATATTGTTGATTTAAATAATTATTATTTGTATATTATTATTGTTAAACATTTAGTATATTGTTTTTGTTAAATATTATGTCTACAAATTTTATTTGTTTAATACCTTATTTTGTTTATCACCACATCATTTAAACCTTCCAAATTGTTTCGAAGAAAGTATTCTTTAATCTAAAAAAAAATTTCATTAAAGTAAATGTTAGATTGAAATGGTCATGAAAATGATGAAAACAGATGTAAAAATATTTAAAAAGTATACTAAGCATCATTGTCAAAAAAACTGCTTGGAAAAAAAAAACGAAAAAAAGTTTTTTTACTGTACCTATAAAAATGCAAAAAATGTTGTAAGAGAAAGTTTTGTTAGGAATAGAATGTATCATATAGCAAGAAAAAATAATAAAATAAAAAATTCAATTTTCTTGGAAAAATAAACCAGGTTTGAATGAATTGTGGTGTTAAGAAATTTCCTAGAAAAATGTTCTTTGTCTTCCATATCAGCAGAGTAATAAATTAGTTTATCACCTCCAATTTTGCCTTGGACTGTATAAATTATTGATATAAAACTCTGTGTGTGTGTGTATATATATATATATATATATATATATATATATATATATATATATATATATATATATATATTAATTTTAAGTTTCAATAGAAAATAGGGTTTTATTTTTTTAAAAAGTGTTCGCTTTTTGGAAATTGTCCTCAAAAGCAAACAGTATATGAAAAAATTGTATTGAAAAAAACAGATAAATTAATAAATTTAATATTTTTATTTTTAATGTTAAAATATACACATAATTATTATACAAACAGAAAAAACTAGAAATAATAAATAAAAAGACATGAGCAAGCTTGAGCTTGAAGTAAAAATTAAAAATTAATAAATTAGGTTCTGCACTTTTTTGTGCAAAAGAATTCTTAGCCTGTTATATATCTTTTTGGGAGACAAGGTTCACAAATCCACGAACTACAACTTGATTTTTCTCAAGTTTTCCATAAAACTTGCATCTCAGGCTTTTCATTTTCAAAAAACTTTGAGCACTTTTTGTACTTTTTTTTTGGATTCCTTAGCAGGAGTTTCTACTTCTGCTGCTGCAATATCAACATATGTTCATTTTAATAGCTTTGTATCTTCTTCTTCTCTTAACTGGTTTAACCAAGCTTCTTCTGTAAAAGCTTGACCAGCCACAGTTATGACATTTTTGGCTTTTTTTGCAGGACGCTAAGTATTTCGGAATTGAAATTGCTTCAAGAGAGCTCTTTCAAAACTGATTTTAACTTGAGTTGCCAACGTTTCTTGAGAAGTTAAATTTAAAGTTGGAATTGAAGTTAGAACTGCAATTCAAAACTGCTCAACAAACAAAAAAAGGTTTTTGTTTGTTGAGCAGTTTGAGGCAAAGAACTTGAGCTGCATGATGATTGTAACTGATGATGATGTTATTAAAGCGTTGTTAAAAGACGAATTTGTAATTTTGATTTGTCAATGTTGTATTGATTTAATGGAAAGACCCCATTGTTTTCAAAACCAGCAATAATTTGAGTACAAGTAAAAGCTTTGTTGCTTTTATAAAACTGTGCTGGGAAACTTGGGAAAATTTTTTTGGAAAAACTGCTAAAACCACTTTCAGCATAAAATTTTATGACCTGGCAAAATACACCAACATCAAGAGGCTACAGAAAGTGAGATGAATGGGTGGGAATGCAAATTAGTGTTAATTATTTTCTTTACACTTTAAGGCTACACTTAATGACACATGAGTACTGTGGCAATCCAAAAGTAAAATATGATGTTCCATTTTTGAACAAACATGTTTCATCATTTTTCAATTAAATAGTCTCTAACTAAACTTTGAACTTGATCTAATTATCTACCAAAGCCTCAATTGCCAAGCATCTGAACGAGGTGAAGGTTAACTCGATAAAATGGCTCAATTTATTTGTACTGCCATTACTTGTGGCTCTTAAGCTCAACTCGTCATTTTAAACTGTTTTACACCATAACCTTTCACCATAACCTGTTTTACAGGTTATGGTGAAAAGGTCAGGACCTGTTTTACAGGTCCTGACCTCTAGTATATAATAAACAAGTAATTTAAAAAACTTTTTAGTCAAATTTAATATTTGAAAAGCCTCTGCTTGTTAAGTGGAAATTTAAATATAAAATAACATACAGAATTTTTAAACTGCATAGCAAAATTTTGATATTCATTTGATGTATTGTAATACATTTGCCAAAGCCATTTTTCTAGTGTTCTTTGAACTAAGTAGACCCCAACAACTATTAATGAAAAGTATTTTGTATCATTAAATAAATATTAAGTACATTTTGTTCATAAAAAAAAATTACATTTAATTTTTGTTGGTAAAAAAATATAGAAATATTATAAAATAACAATTGTTAAGAAACATACTTCTACATGGTGGCATCACACAAACTTCAGATATTTCAGTAGGTTCAGTACATTCATTTCCATTATACATTGGCTTTGGGTTATTACAATACCTCTGTTTAAATCTTTCACCATTGCCACACGGCCTACTGCATATAGACCATTCAGTCCACATTGAAATCCCTCCATGCACTGAACACAAAAAGTAAATTAAAAGAAACAAAGTTTAATGTTTCTATCTTTAAACTTAAGTTACTTATGGGATTACAAAAAAAGTACAAACTAGTTTTTTTTAAAAGATACTTAATATTATAAATGCTCAAAACTTGTGTGAAATATATAGATGTTGGTAACTATATTATAATTTGTCAGAACCATTTCCAGCTACATTAATGGCAACATTCATCACATTTTGGACAAAATTTTACATTTAGTATTTACTTACATTGATAAAATACTGCAAAATGTTAAAACTGTTAAAAGCACATTTTAAGAACTACAAAAAAAAATCATTAATGGAAACTACTTATAATTAGACTTTACCAGGACAAGGAAAAGCAGAACATTCTGGAACTAAATCTATTTCTGGACCATGACATGGTGTACCACCACCAACTACACTTGGACTATCACATTTTCTTGTACGATTATAATATCCATAATGACAACTTGCATTGCAAGCACTATATGGTTCCCAATTTCCCCATTCACCATCAACTAAAAAATTATTACAAATTATTTAAATTTAATAAACTATTACATTTAATGGTTGCTGAATTTTTTTTTTAATAATTTTTTTACCATAAAATTTATGTTTTAACAATAAAACAAGTTTTAGAAAATTTATTAAATTCAAATTTTTTAGTAAAAAAAAAAGCAAAACATTTTTCTAACACAATTCTGAATAATACTTGTAAACAATTTTTTAGTTTGTTTAGTTGTTTATACTATACACAGTATTTACATCTTTATTATAGATAATAATACCTGGGCAAACTGGTACATCACAATTTTTTTTTTCTTCAGTTATTCCACTACAGTTTCCATAACATACTCGATTTCTAATCATAAAACTTGTTCCACAAGTTGCAGTACAAAAAGTCCACTCTGACCATTCATCAAAATCAATTGTACCTAAATAAACTCGCATTTTCAGTGTATGGTATAAACAAACTTATTTTATCTATATTTAATATTACAAATTTTTTATTAATTAATTTAAATTTATAATTTTAATTTAATTAAAATTATAAAATTTCAAAAAAATAATAATAATATGGAAACAATAACTTTTTTATTTTAAAAAGATAACAATTTTTTTAATTTACTTGACTTTTTCTGAAAGGAAACATAAAATGAAACAAAAAAGTATTACATTTGAAAAATAAAATATAATTAATTTAGATTAGGTTGTCATTATTGAAATCATATATAGGTGGGGAAGGAGGGGGGGGGGAAGAAAAAAAAAGGTAAACTGTAAAATATAAAAATTTTTACATTTACATTAAAATATCTTGAAAATTAATACAAGTCAATAATATGTTTTTTTTTTATATGAAATGTTTTTTCATTTGTAAGGTATTTGCATAAAATTTTTTTTCAAATCATGTAATCAGCATTTAACTTGTAGTTTTTACAAGTATACAAGCAATACACACATAATCAGACAGATGACAGATATTACTCTAAAGAGCAGATAACAAGCCAAGAGTTTCAAAGAGAGGTTGGTAATAGTGAGACTGTCTAAGGCAAAATAAATTATTAGATTTTTTCTTTAAAACTTTTTATGTCTCTACATGGATATTCAAAGACATAATAGTTTGATAGAAAAAAAGATGTTGAGGGAAAAATTAGAAACTGAGTGTTAAACATAAAAAAATATAAATGAGCACAACTTGTAAACAATTAAATGTAGTTATCTATGATCTGCATCACATTACTATGGCTTTTCATTTTACACAAATGATTTACTTGATTTATGTGTTAAAAACCTTAACCACTAGTAATTTGTAATGCTAAAGACTAGATAATAGGTCCTAAAGACTAGATACTAGATGCTAAGGACTAGATACTAGGTGCTAAAGACTAGATACTAGGTGCTAAAGACTAGATTCTAGGTGCTAAAGACTAGATACTAAACAATAAGACTGCCACTACTAATTGCTATTGTCAAAAATCTGAAATAGATAATATAAAAATGATATTTTTTGATAACCAAATTGAATATTAATCAAATTGAAATTAAAAAAAATTAAATGAACTATTACCTTTATTGACACAATTGCATATTCTATGCATGTTTTTTGAAACAAAAACACTTTCGCTCTTGCATGAAACATTTATTGGTATTTTTAAATAACCATAACACCAACCAATAGCACTGTTGTAACTTGGATCTAAATCAGAACTGTAAAAGCTCTCAGGGGAGTTGTCAAAACATAGTATAGATGATGTATCATTAAAATAAATAAAATTATTGTTAGAAAACTTTTTAAAAGAATTTAAGCAAACTAAGTTGTTTTCTTCACAAATAATATCACAGTCAGTAACACCTTCTCTCCCCAAAATAAAACCTATAAATAAAAAAAGTTAATTAAATGCCTATTTAAAAATTATAAATGTATATTACTTGTTATAAATAAATTTTATACTACTTTTTTAAGTAATTAAACAAATTAAACTTATTTTATGCAAACTTCAAACCTTTATTTAATAAAAAATAAAAAATAGTTATCATAATTAGCCAACCTAGAAACAAACTCACCTGAGCAATGCTCAACTAAGCAAGTTTCATAACTTATGTTGACACCCACACAATTATATTTTCCTAAATTATTTGCACAAGTTCGAGATCTTATTTTAACTCCTTTATTGCATGTCTTACTGCAGTCACTCCATGTTGACCACATAGACCAATTACCAACTGAAACAGAAGATAAACTAATTAAAAAATGTTGTATATATTTTTTTTCTTTACCTTAAATGGTAATACCTTAAATACCTTAAATTTCTTTACCTTAAATTTACCTTAAATTTTTTATTAAATTGATTTTACTGAATATACTGAGAATGCTTTAAAAGCTAAAAATGTTTCTTAAAAAAAAAAGTCCTAACACTTGTTGCTTAATTCCGAAATAGAAAAACTTTGAACAATTACTAATATTACTAATATAAAATAGTCCTATTTTTTTATGTAATGTGTGTACTTAACACTCCAATATGTTTTTAACAATTCTATATATTCCTAATAATCCTTTTTGTTAATAATGCATTAATGAATAGCTATAAAAAAATAAAATCAATAACAAATCATAAGATAAAATAAATAACAAAAAAAATTTAGAACAAGAAAATAACTTTGAGTGATGAGTTAAAGTAAAATAACACTAAAAAGAAGCCAAACAAACCTAAACACTTTTCAAGTTGGCAAACCTGCTTTTGTGTACTTTGGCCAGAACAACTATGTTTTCTCATAGGAGCAGTCATACAAATGCGTGATCTTGACTTTGTCCCATTATTACAAGTTTTGCTGCATTCAGTCCAATCAGACCAATCAGCCCATTCACCATCAAAACAAAAAAATAAAATTTAAAGTTATGAAGAATAAATGAAAAAAGTAATATTTTTAAGAATGACGATGACAATGATGATAATTACGATAAAGATCAAGATTCTATTCTTCTTACCTATTTGCATCGAACTTGCTACAATAAAAATTCTTTTTCCACAGCCAGCTTTATTACATGCAGCTAGACTAATGTTATGAGTGCTTGATTTATCAAGATTCGTTATGTTAAACTCAAGAATTAAAGAATTTATTTGCTTAAAACAATATTTAGGTCCAATATTACCATTCAAATATAATTGCACTCGACAAATTTCATAAGCTGTTATTAAACCATAGCTATTTTCAAAAGGAACTGCATTCCATGCAACTCTAATTATTCTTGTATTGTCCGAGTAGCTAGAGATATTTGATGGTGCATCAGGTACTAAAAATTCAATTTAAATTTTTTATTTATATAATTTCATTTTTTTAAATATTTAATCCAAGTTTTTTATTGTAAAAATAATCTTTTGAAAATGTAATGCAAAATTACAAAACATGTAAAAATTTAAAAAATATTATGTTATTTAAATATATATATATATATATATATATATATATATATATATATATATATATATATATATATATATATATATATATATATATATATATATATATATATATATATATATATATATATATATATATATATATATATATATATATATATATATATATATATATATATATATATATATATATATATATATATATGAGTGTGTGTATGTATGTGTGTGTGTGTGTGTGTGCGTGTGTGTATATTAGGGTGTGACAGCTGCCTGAAAATATACATAATTTTAGTATTGGTCTAAAAAGCATTCTTGTAAAATATCATAAAAGTTGTGCAACTTTTGTGGTAGCCCTTGCAAAGTTTTCTTTATTTTTATTATTTTTATTTACTATGTTGGGATTGTGGGTCCTTTTTATTGCTATTATAAATTTTCTTTTTTTCAAATAATATTTTAGTTTTTTATTACACTAGGTTTTCTTTAAAGTTTACTAGTTTATGTTTTATGTGGATTTTTATTTATTAAGTTTATGTATAATAATATTGTATGGATTATATAGCTTTTTTGTTAAATTTTTTTTAATTGTAAGTAAAAATACTTTAATTAAAGAAACAAGTTAAAGAAAATACTTTAAATAAAGAAATAAAATATCTTTAATTTTGTATAATATAATGAATATTATTATTGCTATTAGTATTACTATATATTTCTATTATTATGTATTAATATCATTAAAATCAAGTGCTTGCTCCAGGTTTTCTATTATTAGATATAATTCAGTTTATTATTAGTTGTAATTGAATCATAACAGCTCTTTTCAGAAATTTATAAGGGCAATTCCGCAAGAGTGATGGTTGAAGTTTCAAGTCATTTCCAGTCATTTCCAGAAATTTAAAATACTATCATATAATTTAGTATAAAAAAGTTACAGCATTAAAGTCTTAAAGTTTTTACAAAAATTAACTCAAAAATGCACAATGGGGCCGAACAAAGGAAAAATGGCCAAAAATCAAAAAATCTGCCAATCCATTTAAAAATTTTGCACAATTATAAAAAAGAGTATTCTAAATTGAATGAAAAAATAATTAAATGTTTTTTGAAAAAATTTTGACCATTTCTTTCGAAATAGAGTCTGATAAGAATTTCTTTATCAATAAATTGACATTTAGTGATTTTTTTTACTTTTTACTATATTATTTAAGTATATATTTATAGCTTATAAAAAAAACTTATGGAAAAAAAAAGTAAAACATGCATATTTATAAAAGGGATCGCGGTAACAGAGGGGAGTAGTGAGGAGTAAAAGGCTGAGTGCCCCCCACAACTTTTTCCAAATTTTTAAAATAAAGTGCAAAATATTATATGAAAATATGAATAAGTTTTTTATACAAAAGATAAAAACTCATGCTGCCATCTATGTTGCAAGCAAATAATAGAGAAAGTTATTGTACGAAATATTTTGCTCAATTTTATTGATACTCGATTCGAACTTGCAACCCCTTGGGTAAAGAGTTCAACACTATAAACACTGCGCCACGTCTGCTATTTTTATTATAAAAAATCATAACATCATCTAATTGATATATTTCAGAATCTACATTTGTTTCATACATGTGACTGTTTTCAAAATCATCTATATCATTTTCACTGTTAGAATCATCATCACAGTTTTCATTATTAATATTTGTATTTAAGATTAATAGTTCTCTTACTTCGGATGGCATCTTATGTTTCTTGTACTTTTGAATTCTTTGTTGTAATCTTGAACTTAAAAGAATTGGATCTGAAGTCTCCATTGCACGTGTGAACACATCAAAGGGGTTGTGTTAGCAACTATCTTTTCGAGCATGATTGATTCTATCTGATCTAAAAATTTTATTTCTACTTTCTGAAGCTTCTTCAGATAACATGCCAACAGGGACAATTAAATTTGATATGATTTGTGAGCCATGTATCAAAAGTTTATGTAATGTGGGAGTCATAGGAAATTTTTTATATAATTTAACATACCGAGATGCTGTTGAGAAGCAATAGTCATTAAATTTGACTGGGTCAATTGGAAATCGATAAGAAATACACAACAAAAGTATTCTTAATCTTTGAATAAGCTCCAAGTCGTTGTCTAAAATTTCAGACAAGAGCTTCATATCTTCGAATGCTCTTTTTGCAACGTTTCCTGTATTACTACTGTCACCGCTTGATTTTGGCATGTCTATATGAATGTTAAGTTTGTTCTTGAATCGGCTTTGAATTTTAATCTTCCTTGCTTTTATTATTGCTTCGTTTTCTTTTTCATGCACTTGCCATTGATTTTCAGGCAAAACTAATTTATAAGAAATGTGTAACATTGCTTCGAAACAGCGTATATGCATGTGAAGAATACTTAAACCATATTGTAGAGCTACTGGGTTAAAATTAAATACTACTTTTGTAAAATTTACTAGTTTATTCATATCTTTTGAAGAACAACTACACACAGTACATAGTTGTTATGTCTTCGTAATAAATGCTTGAATCTTTCCATCTATTAACGTCAAACACAGATTACATTCAACCAATAGTTTCTTTCCAGACTTTAAAATAATCACAAACTCTTCGAGTTCAGCAATTTATTTATCATATTTCTCCGTTAATCGAATTAAGTATTCTTTACTTTCCTTTGCAAATTCGATTCTCTGTGGACGGCAAAATCTAGTAGACTGAGGAGTTTGATTAGTCCATAAAATTTTTTCACAGCTTGTTTGCAATCTTAAAGGAATCATAGATGTCACAAATAATGAACTATCACTAAAATTTTCACTTAGATCTTGATTGAACCTTGCTTGTTGCGTGCTACCGTCAAAGCCATAAGAAACTATAAATTTGCATTGAACAACATTAATTTCTGGAATTTCTTTCTCAATAAGTTCATGCTGCAATTTACTAATTCTTTCTAGAGTATGTTTTAATAAATGCTTCCATTCTACTTCAATGCAATTTTCTGTTTGCAATATTTCACTTGGACAACATTGAGATTTTTCAGCTGATACCAATTTTTATCATTTTGAGCAGCGACAGTTGCAGCAACTCTGAGGTACATTTCAGTTTCGGGTTCGTTATTAGATACAACATTAGCAATAACTCGACGTTTGGATCTGGAAGACATCTCCAAAAATGGCATAGTTGGTCTTCCTCTTTTCGTTTTTTCAGAACTGGACAGCTGAGGGTCACATTTAAGCTCTATTGGAAGCTCGTATTCAGTTTGAAGCCAACTTCCATGGTATTTCATGAATCTTGCAAAAGAACAACCTTGCTTTTTCCAAAGTTCGTTGTATCGCTTTTTTATATTTTTTATTTTCTGTGTTATAACTTGTTTTTCTTCTTCCTTTAGGTCTCTTTTAAGTTTTTCTTCACAACACAACAAGCATTTTTCAATCGCTAGATAATGTTTATCATTTTGTTTTATAATTGCAACAATTTCACTATACTTAATAATCATTTTTAAATGTATTTACACATTTCACAGTTTTATTTATCTTTGAACAATGCTTATGAATTGGGTAAGGGTTATGTGTTACTGCAGTAACCAATAATCCTTACAAAGTAATTATTGGTTATATAATTTTATATAATTATTGCAGTAACCAATAAAGTAGTTATTGGTTACTGTTGATGGCATTTCTATCAGTATACTGATAGAAATGCCATCTTTATTTTTAGATATTTAAAAAAAAAAAGACAAAAAAAAGTTTTTTAAATGGAAAAACAATAAATCAAGCATTACAAGACAGACTAAGTTTTTTATCAAATTTGATTGAACTAATTTCAAGTATTTATTGCAAGTTAGACTTCCACCGGCCATCAACAGCAAAATTATATCTCTAGCTTTTAAGTTATAAACAAACTAAATGCGCTATAAATATATATATTTTTATTGGAAATAAACTAAATTAAATTAATTTATTGCATATATTGATAGACTTAATCATTATCTTTACATAAATATATAATTTAATATTCTTAAAACAGCAGTCACAAAGTAAATGTAATAAACTCAAAATAGGAATTTTAACACAAATTTCGGTCAGTTTGAGTTTGAGTCTAATGGTTACTCAACATCCAACTTTTTTTAAGTACAAACTAATCTGTTTCAGATGCAGCTACAAATAAGATTTAAAATTAGCATTTAAAATTTTCAAAAATTTAAAACTTGATTTTTAGATTTTTGGCCATTTTTTCCTTTGTTAGGCCCCATTGTGAATTGTGACAGTCATAGCATTTACTTTTTACCACTTCTGAACAAAATAACTTTGTCAGACTTAATGCACTAAACAACATGGTAAAAAAAATCCTTTGGTGTGTGTATTTAGCCCATATTGCTATTATTATATGCTGAGTTTCATAGTTTTTACTTGAAGTTTTACAAGCATTTTTATGTTTTTTTCTGTCATAGCAATCATAACAAAAAAGCCAATATTAAAAAACATTACCTACAATGATAATCAATGATGTAAGAAAAAAAGTGTAAATGATTATTAAAAACAATGTAAATTATGATAAAAAAAATGGGCTATAAAATTATTAAAGTTCTCAATTATAATTTTATGATATTATTTTTAGCACTTCACAACAGAAATGTATATAAATGTCAAAACACGTTTATACAACCCTTACAACTTTAAAACCATGCTATGGTATAATAAAATGATTTTTTTTAATAACTGTTTTGCTTAAAAGAATTTTTAAAGAGTTAAAAAAAAATATGGAGTTTTGTATGTGTTTACATAATTTTTTTGATTTAATTATTTTTCCTCAACTTATTAACAAGAAAAAAAAATTATGACCCACTCTAATATATATATATATATATATATATATATATATATATATATATATATATATATATATATATATATATATATATATATATATTAGAGTGGGTCATAAATTTTTTTTTTCTTGTTACAGGCTCTAAACATTGCTAATAGTTACTAATATTGATACTATCAAATATGAGAATGATTGTGATAGATTTAAAGGGCGCAACTTTATTGGGAAAATTACCGGTACCCTAATATTTTGGAGAAAAAAAGTTTTTCAAAAGTAGGTCAACCTGGTACTTAAAAGAAGGGAAATTTTATAAAAAATTTGAAAATAAAAACTGTTTTTTAAAATCATATTGCCGAAAAAAATTCTTAATAAAAACATGTTAAAATGCACCTTTTTCACTTTTAGTTAAAAAACTATAGTTATTATGCAATAAAATCTAAAATAATAATTTTTATATGAAAAAATTATTATTTTCGAAATTTTTTATAAAATTTTGCTTTATTTGAGTACCTACATTACATAATTTTGAAAAATTTTTTTTTGAATAATAATACGACCTGCTAATTTTGCTAATTATAGTTGCGGGTGGAAGACATTGTTCAATCCATAAAAGTAAATACTTTCCTAAATTAGTACATAAAAAAACAATTTTCTAGACCATAGCCAGGTTAGCAACTTTAAATAAAAATTTTATGTATATATTTTATAAAATATATACATATATATATATATATATATATATATATATATATATATATATACATATATATATATATATATATATATATATATATATATATATATATATATATGTATGTATATATATATATATATATATTTATATATATATATATATATATATATATATATATATATATATATATATATATATATATATATATATATATATATATATATATGTATATATATATATATATATATATATACACACACACCCACACAAATAAAATAAAATACATAAGAAAAAAATACAAAAAAATTAATCAAATTAAAAAAATAAATCAATTTTTTACTGTCTTCATCAGTATATGCACAACTTTGAGAGCTAAAGGGTCCTGTTCCATTCAAATTAGAAGCAGCTACTTCACAACAAAGCTGTTCATATTTATTCAAACTTGTTAACAGTATTGTTGTGGATTCAATATTCTCATTTAATAGCATGCTATCTTGACGAAAGCATTTAAGGGTATAACTTATCTTATTTATATCAGAATGAGCACAATTAAAGCCTATTCTTTGCCATGAAATACTCATTGAGGTGGATGACAAGTTTTGCATTTGAATTTGTGTCGGTTCACAACTGGGTACATCGGAGTAAGTACTGAACTCTACATTATTTGATATTTTACCACATCCTATTTCATTGCAGGGCTGAACTGATACCTGATAATGTGTATTGGGATGTAAGCCTAACAGATCTAAAACAAAACTAGTGCTTTGATTAAAGTAACCTAAAAAATCACTCTGTGTGCATTGACCTGATTTTCCAGAAAATTTCTCTAATGAATGAGTCAAATAAACAGGTTTACGAAGATATTCATCAGATGGAGGGCCAGGGTTATAGTTTTCATCTATAACATCTACATGAAACAGCCAATAAGTATTTGTTCCACGAAAAAAAGTTGGTAAGAAACTGTTTGTAATAAAAGAAGCACTTCTTGAGCTGGTAGCATAAAAATTTGTTATTAAAGGTGTCATGCAGAAAGGCTCTATAAATATATATTTAAATTTATCAAAATAATATAAAAAATAAAAAATAAAAATAAGTGTAAAGATTTTTTCAAAACACTTTCTTTATTATTTATCTTTAAAACTACTTTTCTAATATATTTTTGCAATACATACTTTTACATGTAAACAACAACTTAACTATCAACAAATTTCAACTACCAAGTTTTGTTTTGAAGACCAGTGTAGTAAACATTTGAGAATGAACTACATATTAGAAGTTATGACATTATTTTTAATATATAGAAATAATTAACCTAACTAACTAAAGTTACATAGCTAAATTCAAAGTGAAAAATCTGACTAAAGTCCCATTTAACATATATTAGGTTGATAGCAAAAACATTTGAGTTCTTAAAAAATTATGCTTTCAAGTAGCATTAAGTATGCTTGTATTTTTTGTAAACAACATCAAAAGCAGCAACAACAAACTCATCAAATAAAAAGTTTTAACCTCAATAAATAAAGCTAATAAGCTAAAAATTTAGAAAATCTTTTGTTAAACAAGTTTTAAAAAAAAATTTACCTGATAGATATGGCAAAACACATAAATCACTTTTAGGACCACTAGCAATGGAAAACGCATTTACACTAGCTATAAGTAAATAGCAAGAGTCAATATTTTTCAGCGTAAACTCATTACCACTTATATTTTTTGTGGTCAACACTATTTCTTTAAAAACAGAACTAGCCACAATCCCATAGCTTAGCTGATAAAATCCAGGTACTTTGTAATCATTCCAAGCCTCTATAGTATTTTCAAGGGAATTCCATTTAAATTGAATAGAATTTTGATTGACTATTGCAGTAAAGTTTTCAGGCACAAACTCAGGTGCTAAAAATAAAGTAATGTAAAAAAAAAAAAGTACAGAATTTTCAAACAACAAGTTTTTAAAATCAAATATTGAAAAAGTATTGGAAAATATTGGTTAAGTAAAATTAATTCAAATGCAAAACAACAACAAAAAAAAAAAATAGAAACCCTGAAAATATAGATATGTTAGAAAATCAACAATCAGTTAAACTTATAATTGTACTTACTAAAATTGATTAAGTTAGTATAGATTCACTAAATTTTAATGCTTCTCTACTAAGTTGAAAAAGTTTTACTGTTTCATCAGATAGCATTTTTAATACAAAATTTTAATAATAGATTAAACTTGTGTTATTTCTGTAATAAAATCTTTTTAGCTAGTTTTTCTATAGAGCAGTTGCTTGAAAAATATAGAAACAAATTAAAACTATGCTTAAATTTGTTTGGAAAATAATAACACCTTAGATAAAACTATTTTTAATTTAGTAATTAAGTTATGTTACATTTCAATTTTTCTGCAATTTAGTTTGATTTGAAGTTGATGAAGAACTTAAGTTTTCAAAATTCAAAATGGTAAAAGTAAACTTTTTTTCTTTTAGTATATACAGCAGAGAATTTAAAATTTATTACCTTCTCTTTGGGTACGAACAACTGTTTCCTTCCAAATACCAATACCTTGCCCCCCATTTGTTGTTGCATAACCAATAATACATAATTCCACAAAATGAAAGTCAGTTGTTTTGATTTGAAATCTTAAATTGCTTGTGGTATTATATTTTATAATGTCTTTGTGTTTCTTTGGACGATTAATTCTAAAATTAAAACTCAGTTATAAATAAATTTTTTATTCTACTTAATTAGAACTATGGCGCTAAAATTTATTAGTATTTATTTTATTTACAAAATAACTTTATAAAAACAAAAATGATGAAAATACTTATTATTACATATTAAACAAAAGTTTTTATTTATGAAGATGTGACAGACAAATGACTAGAAAATTATATTTTCAAAAAAATATGTATGTTATTAATTATATTATTATTAATGTATATTACTCTTACAAAACAGTAATGAATGTCTACATAGCAACAACAACGGTTTACAAAAGTAAGTCAGAAACATTTTTTCTGAATTTCTTTTTGTTTCTATGTGTTTTGTTTTCTGAAAAACAAAACACATAGAAACTCTTTTAATTTATACTTTTTATGTTTTATTGTTAAACACTTTTTATGCTTTCAAATAACTTTTTAAAGTAAAGTTGAGTGATTTTCTTAAAAATGTCTTTAACAATATTACAAAATATTGTTTTCGACATTTTAACATCAAAGCCAAGTGAAGAACTAAAGTAGCAGTTAAATACTTATAACTTTTAGCCAAATTTCTATCAAAATGGAAATTATCAAAATTAAGTTGAAAAACTCAAGGTAAAAAAAACTATAAAAAATCACCAACAACTTTATAACTTTATTACAAACCTCTACAATGTCAAGTTCAACTATAAAAAATGAAAAATATTTACTGTTATTTATTGTTATAAATATATTGCAAAGGTCCATAGATCAGTGTAAATAAAAAAATATTCTTAAAAATATATTGTTCTCAAATGCTAAAATAGACAGCAATATTTATTAGGGTGGGCTGAAACCTAAACATAAAAAAGTGTTCCCTCTAATTTCTTGGCTTTTGATGCAACATGAAGATTTATTTGGTTATCAGTTTTGGCCAAACCACTTAAGGTTATATAAAAGACTTAAAAAAATTGCAAATTTTTTTAGGGCAAAAATCCTAAAAAAAAATGAAATTTCTTTATAAAATGCTAAAACTTGTTCAATGTGTATACACTTTGCACTAAAAGATGCAGAATTTAATTTTAAACAATTTTAATTCTATGACATTTTCAAACGACACCTAAACTTAAAAAGTTATTTAAAAAAAACTAAAGACAAATAGATTTTTTTCCTAATAATTGACTAATTTTTATTTGGTTGTTTTTTAGATACATAAATACCATCAACATATCAACAAGAAATAACAACAGCAAATAAACCAAATATAAAAAATAACCAAATATAAAAAATAAGCAAATAAACCAAATACATTGCAGATGAATGCTGTAATGCCTTATAACAATTTTCTTTTGGAAAACTTCCCACTTTAAAGGAAGTAAGATATCTTTACTTTGAAGATAATTTTGCAATATTTTACATGTAAACAACAATGTGGTTGAAAGATATAAAGACAATAGAAAAGACAGTTTTCATAGAGATTTTAGTGTAGAAGTATTCAATCTATGAGTAAATTATAATGTTTATAAAATATTTGTTATTAGGATTAAATAATCAAATAAGTTACCTTTTAGGCATATTTTTATGAAAATTGATGGAACTACAAAATAACTACACACAATACCACCAGTTTTGGAACTGAGTAAAGAAAACAAGATACTTGAATTTATCAAAAAACCACTTAAGTTAAGATATCACAGGGAAAATGTTAAAAGACATGTAAAACTTGTTACAGAAGTTTTAGCATTTGTGGTTGGATACAGTCACAGAGATGGAATTATTAAAAACAAAATTAGGTCCAGAAAATTAATTAAAAATTTCACATGAAAAAGTAGTTTTAAATTGTAATGTTTTATATAATTTTGTAAGTTTTATATATAAAATACACTAATTGTAAAGATTATACATTTTAACAGTTAATTTGAACATAGATATAATATATTAAAAGTATCTGTTGTCATAATTTTGTAATATATGCCACTATATTAAATAAAAAAATAAAAGAATTAAGGTTTTTGGCAAAAACTTCATTAATATAGTTTTTAGAAAAAAATGTTATTTTATTAAAACATGTCTTAAATTTATTTCTGCATCGTTTAGTATCTAATTGATGCTTGTGGCTTATTTTAAAATGCATTTATGATTGTTTTTCCATTTTTAACCCATTAAAATGTCGATATTTTTACATTTTGAGACTTAAATTCAAGTGAATTAGTTAAAACTGGTAACCACTAACATTTTTCTTCACAAATATATGTTGCAAATAGAGTTTAAAGCCGTGCTTAAAACATATCACTTGCTGACTGACAGTTTTAGCAGGTGGCTAAAAGCTGAGCAACTTGGCTAACTAGCTGACACTGGCTGACCAACAAAGCTGCTGGCTTCTGGCTGCGTAAATTGCTCTGAATTATAATTAGTATTTTTTTTCAACAAAAAGAAAACAAGTTTAAGTTTAAATCAAGACAACTTTTTTTTTCAATTAAAATTAAAAATCAAATAAGACTGATGATGTCATGAAAAAAGATAGTCATGTTCATGTTAAAAGAACTTAATTTGCTTCTTTTTGAGTTCAAAATCAATCCAGTTAATGAAAACATGGACTCCACTGATACACTTGTGGTTGGTATGCTAAAATACTCTTTTGCAAGTACTGCTAAGTGTGGATACTTTGCATGATGATTTCACCAAAACAATAAACAACCCAGTTCTTCATCTGTTGTAGGTGTATGAGAGATAAATTGCTCTACTTCCAAATCAATTTGACAATTTTCTGCAAAAGTAACACTTTTCTTCATCTCTTGAAGTAGTTGTCGCTTAGCACTAGGACCTAATTTTGAATCTTTATTATTTTCTGACTCTGATATAACTAAAACCAGATAAGACAATTTAATAAAAACCAATATCAATAATCAACAAATGATACTTAATGAACTCAATAATTTAATAAAATAATAACTGCTGATACTGATTTAATAACTACTCTGTTTTCCACAATTAATTAAAATAAAAAAATTAATTTTTAATAAAATTTGTTTGTGTTTCAGTAATTTTTTTCAAAACAAAAACTTATTTTATTGATGTTATCAGTTGTTGTATAGACATATAATACCTTGAATTAAATCTAATTGGGTCACTTATGTTTAAATCATTCTCCACAAATTTTCCTTTATTTCATCTCTTGTATATAAAATTTTTATGGCTTGATCTAAAAATAGCATAGTTTTGCAGAAGTTGATAACTAAAGTCTTTGGCCAATTTTTTTGGAGCAACATTCCTTTAGTTTTTTTAACTCATTCAAATCACAAGAATTAATTGAAAGAAGTTTTGGTATTTTGTGTTTAACTAATGGCAAAATAGAAAGCAAATTTCCAGCATTGACCACAAGGGTTAATGATTCAAGTGGTTTTAAAAATTTAACCAATTCTGAAATCAAGGCTTGTTCATCATTATCGTTATCAATTGGTTAATTGATTCTATCATAATAAGAACACTGTTCTATCTTATGCGTATTTGCTGTTTCAGACTTCTATGCTGTCTTTTTATAAAATTATCATCATATTTTTCTTCACAAGCAATATCTAAATTGTTTGCTTCAATCATTTTTGCTTCATCATAAATTTGAATGGGAAATTGCTGCTCTAAATCATTAATGTTTTTCACTTCAGCAAGAATTTGAAGATCCTTGTGTAATTTTATGTTTGCTTCATGATGTGATTCCTCTAAAAGTAAAGTTGACATGAAGTTCAGGTAAGTTACAATTCGTCTGCACTTTTCTAACAAACACTTTGTATCAGTACACTTATTTATGCCATCACATGTTAATATTAAATGCAAGATATGAGCTAGACAATGTTGTGGATCCTTTGAGCTAAAAAGTCTAGAGGTTTTCATCATATTCGCTACATCCTTGTGCACAGTATGTAGCCTCATATTTCTACAACACCTCTGAAAAAATTTTTGATTAATGTCTTTAATAAAATTATGACAATTTTCACCTGTATGACTTTCTAAAGGAAAACAAGCCAAAGTAAAAATTTTTTTATGCCAGTTTTTATTATTAATGGAACACTTCAGACCCATATAATTAATTTTTTTGTACTTGTCAGTCCAACCATCAAATAAAATTGTTGCTGCATCAATATCTTTTAAACTTTCTGATTTTAAAGATTGAACTTTTCATTTTAAAGATTTGTACATATCAGCATTCATAGGTAATGCTCCACAGTAAAACCTGCGGAAAGTTTTAATCCAATGTTTTTCTCAAAAAACTTTTTAAATCCTTCATTATTAACATAAGAAAATGGTAGTAGATTGGTAGAAAACCAAAGGACAAGATCACAACTTAAATCATATTTTGATGAACTAGCTATAGAGCTACCGCACCATTTATGTAAAAGTTGATCATTTTTTACTTCAACAACAGGTTCGTCTGTTAATATTTTGTGAACAAGAAATAGATGATTTTTCAAATTACTACTTGATGTGGAAACCCTAACCTTGTGAATTTACTTTTTTTCTATCAAAAAACATTTGCTACAGTAATAATGTTCATCGTCAATAACTTTACAATTTTGTGTCAATATTTGACCATAGTATTTCCATACTAATGATGAATCTGTGGTTGTTTTTTTAAATGTGCTGCAAAGTCTAATGTGCAAGTATTTTAAAGAACTGTTATGCAAAATACGACATTCTTTTTGATCCATTACTAAGTAAAACAGACTATGTTTGTGTTTAATTTGGATAATTTAAGTTAAAAAATGTTAAAGCAATAAAAAATCTTTATAAGCCAAGAACATTTAAAATTTAAAAGAAGTGGCGGACATTAATGTACTTATATAAAGGACGAGTGCGTCATTACTATTTCATCTCAGAGAAAATTTTATTAGCAAATTGAATAGTTACAAACACATAAAAATGATGCTCCAAATAACATGCTGCTTATAAGTTATACAAAAGAACTTTAAGTTATTAAACTCTTCTTTTTGATTCTTCCAGCCAACAAAAGCAACTAGAGGTCAAAACTGACGGCAGTTTTGACCTCTAGTTGCAAATCAAATGCAAAGTATTAGAAGGGGATATATTTTGATTTGCTAAAGTTTGTCAAACAAGTATCAAACTTTTTGCTATGAATGACCTTGGAAAAAACTTTGTTTTCTACAAAAAAAAAATTAAAAATTAAACAATTTCTAACAAAAAATTTTCAAAAAAACCATTTTTTAATTAAATAAAATATATAAGTTTAAGAGTCAAAAAGCATCACCTTGAATACAAATTATTTTGAATTTTTATATTTACCATCCTAATATAATAAAATCCTTATTAAAAAAATTACAAAAAACCATGCATCACACAAAGTCAGCTATACTGCACATATAAATTGAAAAAAATTAATAGACTACTTGCTAATTGTTTATAAAACAAATAATTATACTATATCTCAGATATTGTTTAGAACATCACATTTACATGCTACATACTACAAGTCAGTAATGACCATGACAAGGTTTAACTAAAACTGACAAACCTTGTTTGTTTTTATAAATTACGAAAAATCAATATTTTTTTTATGCATCTGTTTTAATATGTATACATATCCTGTTACATTATATGTAATAAGTGATATGACCCATTACTATATAAACATATAAATGTCAAAGTAATGTTATTTTTATTCTTATAATAATACTCAAAACTCCCACCAGAAACTTTGTGGATATGCATTTTATGTTTTACTTACATCCATTTTTTGATTTGCAGTGTATCAATCTGAATGACTTGTAATAATAATGTATAAATAACTCATACTAGTGACATATGATACTGCTATATGTTCTACATAATCTACCCTTATTATAAACCACCTAAACTGGAAATAGCTAAACTCACCAACTCTATGAAACTATGATACCTATATCTACAAACCATTTAAAATTGTATGCATGTTGTACTAAACACCACCTTGTATTCTCTAGTCTTAATCTTAATGTGGAGGCCTATTGCAATTGTCCTGATGAGATGCCCTGAAAAGTTTTCTTTTGGGATAACACATAGAGATACTTTGACAAAAGATAACTTAGTGTACAACCAGAATGGATCCTTTTGTGGGTCTTGTGTACCAGTCTTGGATGAAAGTTGGACATCCTCTTGTCTGGCTATTAGACACTCACTTTTACATAATTATTTATATGACATTCACATAATTCATGTCTATACAATACACATTCATCTTGCTAATGACACAGACAACTTAAGAACTACTTATAAAAAGAATAATTATAAAGCATAACCACAAAAATAAATTGAGAAAACAAAATTTTTATATTTATAATAATTTTTATTTTATATATATTTACTAAATTCATTTTTACATATAGAGTACTCATCATTTTATATTTTGACTTATTTTAAATAATTTCATCTACTTTCCTTGTACAAGACTCCAAATTTTATCTTAGAGCCTGTCATCAAGTATAGCACAGTACAATTGGGAACTTTATTACAATTTTTTCCACTTTTTGAGTAGTTGGATTTTTATTGAGTAGATGGATTTTTGTGTTCATTTTACTTAAACTTGAAAATATCACAAAATATTTCTATAGGATAGATCTGCAGATTATTTGTGATCTTCTTTTACATCTTAATTATGCTCTACATCAACATCCTAGTTACGTTCTACATTAATATTCTAGTAGTGTCCTATATAACAGCTTTCCCCTCAACATTAACAGTGTTGTTTTACATTAACATCCTAGTAATGTTCTCGATTACCAGCATTACGTTCTACATTAACATCTAAGTTACAATCTAAATTAAAATCCTAGTTAAGGTCTACTTTAACATCCTTGTTACTTTCTACATTATAGCATTACATTATATATTAACAGTGTTACATTCTTCATTAACATCTTAGTTACTTTTTACATTAACAGCATTATACTTTACATAAACACCATAGTATTTTCTACATTAACATCCTAGTTAGGTTCTACATTAACATCCTAGTTAATTTCTACATTAACATTGTTACATTTTACATTACCATCCTAATTACTTTCTACATTAACAGTGTTATGTTTTACATTAACAGTGTTATGTTCTACATTAAAATCCTAGTTTTGTTCTACATTAACAGTGTTACTGCTATTCATGGGCATGACTACTGATGATTTTTTCATCCTATATAATATTATTATTCTTTTAACATTTTCTACATTTCATCATGATTAATTTTAGTATTTTTTTCTTTGATGATTTTTTAACAACTCTTTGACTCAAAACAATTTTTTGCACAACATCATTACCAACCATCATTATCCATCATCGTCATTGTCATCAATTGCTATGATGACAATAATTAAAAACAATTATTTTGTATAAATATTTATAGCCAAAATGAATAAAAGAAGATTTGAAACCTTTTAACTAAGATATATCATAAAGCTGTTTTTAAAACAAGTTTAAAACTGAAGGAAAACTTGAAAATTATTAAAAAATTATAAAAATGAAAACTTTTGCTTTAAATTCTGCCACCTGTATATACTAAATACTCTAAAATATAACAAGTTTTGTCACCTGTAAATGCTAAATGCTTTAAAATACAACAATTATTTTAATTAATGCTAAATGCTATAAAATACAACAATTATTTTTATGACAAATATTAACCTAATATAAATATGAAAATTATAAAAATTAATTTTAAAATCAACTAACAGCAAATCTTTACAAGAGTCTGTTAAGTCTTTCACCCAATACACAAGCTCATAAGCATATGGTATACCATTCCAAGATGTGTAACTGATTTGAGACATGTAACAATATATTGTTTTTATCTCTTCATTTAGTGAACAATTGAAGAGTGGATACTCAGTAGGTTCTAAATTGAAAAACAAACCAAAATATATACAAAAGGAACAAAAAGTTATACAAAACAAGCACATTTTTGAAATCAAAAAATTATGATTTATCATTATTATTGTTATTATTATTATTATTATTATTATTATTATTATTATTATTATTATTATTGCTATTATTATTATTATTATTATTATTATTATTATTATTATTATTATTATTATTATTATTATTATTATTATAACAATACAAATACATTCTTAATATTTTAACAACAAATTGTAAAAAAGCTTTTACCTCCTTGAGAAGTCATAAATGTTTTATTTTGTTGCACACATGACGAAAAAAATCTTTTTCTAATAGTTTGGAATGAAAAGCAGACTTTGTATTCTTTAAATAACTCCAACCCATCAATGTAAATGAACTTTGCATTGTTTACCAACACTTTTTTAAAAGTATCATTATTAACAGGTCCGTATTGAACCAATATTTTACTAACAGGATATCTAAAATCTTCAGCAATTTCTAGCGAAAGTACAATAGTTGTCTTATGAGAATGAAGAACGTTATAAGTAACTGTCTTAGAATAATGTTCTAAAATAACAGATAACTAAATGATAACCATAAAATCCTAATATTTACTTTATAATAACTGTAAAAAATGTAAACAACATCTTTTTAATTATATATCAGCATCATATTTTAATATTTTATAGCTAACACTATAGTTTTTTTTATTTTTTTTCAACATCTTCGCTTCCAAAAAAACTGCTAGCAATCAATTTTAGATTTAAAAGTTACTGGAAGAGAAAAGATGAAGTTTATGGAGCAAGATAATGATTGAAAGACAACTTAAAATTTTGCAAACTATATGAATCAAGAAAAAAAAATAAAGGAAGCGAATTCCAAAGAACTAATGTTTGAGGAAAAAAACTAGAAGAATAAGAATTTTTAGAACACTTAGGAATAGTCACAATAAAAGGATGAGATTTAATAGAATGACAGGTAACTTTATACTATAATATGCACTAGCTCTTTAGAGCAGTGCCTATTATAGTATTTGTAGAAAAGAGAAAGAGAACCAACATTACGACGATGTGATTATGGTTGAAGATTGGCTGCAAGAGTAGGTCTAACTATATTTACAATACATTTTTGGACCTTGTCTAAAAGAAAAAGAGAGTTGATTGGAAGATCCGCCCCAGATATGGCAACAGTACACATACAAGAACGCATTTGAGGTTTAAAGAGAAAAAGAATAGAACCCAGAGTATGAAAGTGGCAAGCATGATAAAGAGATGCAACCTTAGCAGATGCTAATTTTGTAATTGATTTGGTATATAAAAATCAAAAGTAAGAATTACTCCTAGAAGATGAAGGGTAGATGACTCATTTAGTACATTACTGTTCAAAAATAAATTCTAGATTATTGTGATAACGATTAGCTAAAAAAAAAGTTTTTTCTTAGTTAAAGTTTACCAGCCACTATGAGCCCCATGCTGTAGCAGAAGTGAGATTCTCTTCAAGCTCAAATACCCCTTCCAAGCAATCAATGAGTTATCAAGAAAAGAATAAATGATAGCATCATCACTGAACATTAAGGAAAACCATGAAGAAGAGTGAGGTTTGACTTGGAATCGTCAAGAGGGAATAAAAAATCCCATGCCTGAATCCAAATAGTTATGTAAGAAGAACATTTGTCAGCAGGAAAACAAAAGATTTCTAGCCAAGGGCCATCACAAAGAAAATCAAGGAAAGATTTTTTCGCAAAAAAAACTTGCTTGACATTTTTAACTTAACATTTAATCTTATCTATGTTTAAAATTTTAAAAACAATTTATAAGCAACTATAAAATTTTTTTGAAAGCTTATTAGGTTTTTCAGTATCCTACTGTAATGTGACTGGCTTGGTCTACTTTTAACTTTACATTATCATTATTTTACTGTAACGTTTAAATTTCATGAATAAATTCTATGAGGTTCTATGCTTCTATGCCCTCTTTTACAAACCCATTTTTTCATTTTTAATATTACATTTTATAACAATAACAATATAATAATCAACAATATAATACATTTTCCTAGGCCCATCTTCTTATTTTTAATATCAATATTATGTTAATGAATATTTTCCAATAACAATGTATGGATAAAATATATGATCATTTATAAATAATCAAAAATTTAAAACCAAATATATGATCATTTATAAATAATGAAAGATATAAAATTAAATAAATAGTAAAATAAGTTTATAACAAAACTTAAACATTAAACAATTTTATTTTAATTTTGTCTTTTTGTATGATTTTTGTGTTGTTTATAGAAAATGTTATTTAAACTTTCTATTATTTCTTTTGCATTTAATTTTAAGCTAAAATGGATTACATAATGATTATATTGGATAAACATAAATTTAATTGGTTTACATTTTTAGAACTGTAAAGTTGAAATCCTAATTCTAATAATATTAGTTTTAGCGTTTTATATACAAAATTTTGTTTGGAAATTTAATATTTTTTACTACTACATACTATAAATTACTACTGCAACTTCATCATACTATTATAAGCATTGATTAATAAATTTTGAATCATATAATAATCAATACTTCTTATTCTATAATCTCAACAGCCAATATTTGTTATCAATATAAAAACTTACCAAGAATGTCATCTTTCATATATGTTTCATTGTTTTCTACCAAATAAAAAACATAAATATATAAAAAGGTAGCATTTTTTAATAGGCCTGTAACCAGAAGAAAGGAACTCAAACCTCCTTTCAAAAAAGTTCCTAAAAATTTATTAAATTTTAAACTAAGTAAATATAAATAAATATTAAGAGTTGTAATACAAAATTTTTAAAATTATAAATATTGATATAATTTTTAATTTTTTTGTAAAATAAAACCTATTATCTAAAAAACTTATCAACTAATTATGAATTTTAAAATATAACCTTAGCAGCAATAGCCTTGGATGGGATTGAAAAGTAACTTTTTTTTTTTATTCCATAATAATCTCTCTCTCACAATATATATATATATATATATATATATATATATATATATATATATATATATATATATATATATATATATATATATATATATATATATATATATATATATATATATATATATATATATATATATATATATATTGTGTTAGAGAGATTATTATGGAATATAAAAAAAAAATTAGTGGTTTTTAATTTTAGATGAATTAATAAAAAACAACTACACTAACTAAAAAATAGCAATAAATAGTCTGACAACGGTTTTCAAAGACTTTAATAATAATACCATTTGTTTTTATATTTTGCTACATTAAACCTTTAAGTATGACAAAATTTATTTTTACCTGAAAAAATGTTTGAAATAAAATTACTCTTCAGATTATTAATTTTGATGATGTTTTCGTTTTGAAACAATAAGTATACATTAAATTTTCCACAAACTTTACTTAAATAAAAAAAAAAAAACATGAAGCATAAATTTTACTTTACAAAAAATATAGTAAAATATTACAGAATATAAGATTCCAAACACAAATTTAATTTGAAAAACAAACAAAATTTAGATAACAAACAAAAATAAACCTAAAAACATTGGACTCTAATGAAACAACTTCTAATAACAAAAATTCTTCAAATGATGACATAAGGTCAGCAATCTAAAATCACAAGTTTCAAATTTAGTAGTAAGTAGTAATTGATAAACAGAAAATGGTATTTAGGAATTAGGACTGAATAAGTTAATTAGGCTGAAGCAAGCTATTAGTTTTTAGTGTGGAACTATTTGCAAGCTATTAAGTAGTTAATAGACTAAAAAGAAAAAACATTAAATATCTTAATTTAAGTAACAAGTGATTTAAAGCTGACTGTTATAATATACAATATAATTATTATAATATATATAATTATAATATATATATTTATAGGACATGAAAAAATATTTAACATTTAAGTAAATATAAGTAACAACAAAAAAATAGGATTGAGTTTCAAGAGCCATAACTCCCTTAAATAAATTTAAAACAAAAAAAGATTGAAAAATGAATTTTATTAAAATTAGAGACAGATTTGTAAAAGTTTACTTAAAACTAATTTTAAATCAAAAATCTAAATATATTAACTAAACCATAAAATAATACAACACAAAAGTACAATTAGTTGAAAAAGTGGATAACCCTGCAGACTAAAATTTCATCTTATAAAAATTTATGGAGAACTTTAAAGGTTTTGTCTGAAAGAAATATTGACTAGTAGAAAATCTTAAAAAATGTACGCTAAGATCAAGCATTGTCTCAATAAAATTTCAACGAAATTTCAGAAATCTTTGCCAAGCCTAATAATTTCCAAAAGTAGAAATTATTTGAGTCGAATTTTTAAGTTTTATAAATCATTTATAAATTAAATTCATAATCAATTCTTAAAACAAGTTACTAACAAAAAATTTTTTTTAATTTATTGCATAATTGATCTAAAATTATTATTAAATTTTTAATGAGAACTTTTATACTATATAAATGATAAAGTTGACAAACCTCTGATTGAATTTTCTTTAGGTTAGTTTCATAGTAACTGCTACCAACCAAAAATTTATCATTAAACCATACTTGAGAAGAACAAAACTTAAACACTAGAGGTGTTGTGGTCTGCTTAATCTTTTCATTACTTGGGTAACCTTTAAAATAAAAAATTTAAAATGCTTTAATTTTGTAAAATGTTTTTAATCAATATTATGTATCAACTAAACTTTAACAAAATATTTTATTTCCATGGGCACACCATTTTTGTGCACTTCTTTCTATGCAAGTATTTTTTAAACTATCCACAGTATGGTAGTGTTTTTTGAAGATCAGAATATTTACTTTAAATAAATCACATCAATAAAGATCATAAAACTATGCAGTAAATATAAAAATTATTATGAAAAAACTACAAACCTGTGAGTTGCATTTTAAACAATAGTTCTGGCTTTGTATTGTTTGTAATAAGAACTTCATCAATTAAAGTAGGAAATGTGGCAACTGAAAAAACCTTAATTTCCATTGAAAAAAAACTTAGTAGTTGAGGGTTCAAAGCAGGTCTACAGCTGGAGTTTATATAAACACCATCAATATAAAAAAATACTGTTTTATTTAAAATGAAAACAAAGTTGTACCACAATCCAGATTTTCCGGGTAAATCAAAGCAGCATTCTTTATAAACTGCCATAACAGGTGTTACAGTTGTAGAAGAATCTTTTTTTTTACAAAATAAAGTGACAACTGAAGTTGTTAAAATAGGCTTATCTTCACCCTCATTTTCGCATCTATGATTTATCCATGCTGAAAATACTGGACAATATTCAGTGAAAAGCTTCACAACACTTGCATCACTAATAGCTACACTATTTGCAACTGACAAACCATTATAAATAAAACCATTAACTAATTTTACTTCTGATGATGATTGGACTTCAAAGCTATCAGAGAATTCAGCAACAAATTTGTTGTTGTTGATAGTATTGAAGGGTTGATAAAATTTACCATTAAAGCTTTCTAAACATAAAATCAATTAAATGTTGCATATACATAAAAACGTAACTATAAATTAATAAATATGCTTTATCAATAAACACAACCTTGCATACATTCAGCCATTTTGTTGTTAATAATGTAGTCTAAAGGTAATAGTTCCCATCTTCCATAAAAAGGGTTACACCATTCACATTGACTTCTTCTTATTGTACAGGCTAAATCCCCTATATTATTAAAAAATACAATAACTGGCAAATGCATAAATTAATAATTTAATTCAATAACATTAACAATGAGAACTTGGGTGTATCAAAAAACAACTTTTTTTGAATTTGAAATTGTAATAGAGTGGAAAAGTTGCATAATGCTATAAAAAGTAATGGTGCCAAATTTTTGTTATATTTTTTTTATGCGCTAGGGTTTTATTTTTCTTATAAAAATACGTTTTCTGACTATTTTACAAAACAAAAATAACAGATTCTATGCATACACCAGTTGTAATTGAGTTTAAATATTACACAATGGCTAAGTTAGAAATGGTTACAATTTTTTAAGAAAATATTTTAATTTCTTCAGTTGCCGTTAAAGGGTTGAGTTTTCACGAAAAAATACAAATTTTATTTTAAACTAAGTAATTTTAATTATGTTGCTGATGTTCTGATTTACATCTATTTTTTAATAAAATAAATTGAAATTAAAGAAAATATTAATGGCAAAAAAGTCTTCTGCTGCAGTGACAACAAGGGAAAAGTCTACTTGTCCTATCTCCAGTTTACCAGCAGACTTAAGTGAAAATGTCTTGCCAACATGCAGACATGTCATGTTAAGTTATTTTTTCTCAGTGAAGAAAATAAGAGTGGAAAAAGGTAAAAAAACAACCTTCTACCACTTTCGTCTCTCTTTTTTTTTTTACCACCACAAAGTAAAGTTTGATGATAAAGCTTGAAGCTCAAGCAATATCATCAAACCGCATTCAGAATTCAAGTTTTTATTTTATATTTAAAGATTCTGACTCTGATGAAACTGTGATTTGGGATACTGACTCAGAATCAGATGCTGATTATTTAGTCACAGCTGAAGACCGCAAGCAATAATGGAACAGAAAAGAATAAACAAATGAGATCACCATTACTATCCTTGGCACAAGCCTGGGATGGAGTAGGTGTTTCAAGCAGAGGTGCTGCATTTGTAGCATGTGCTGTACTGAAAGACATGAATATAATTTCAAAATGAAATTAGACCAATGTAAAGTAATTGATGAAAAAAAAGATTCAAATAGAACGAAAGAAAACAGACTTAAAATGCAACATTTTGACCATGAAAATATTCAAATGTTAGAAGATTTGTTTTAGATGGAAGAAAAGATACAACATTAGTTATTGATACAAACAAGGAGAAAAATAGATAAGAAAAGCTATCAAAGAAGAACAAGTAGTTTACAAGAACCAGGGTAAAAGTATCTAGGGCATGTAGAGACTGCATCAAGACATAGATACAGCATTAAGACAAGTATAAAAACATTTCAAATTTAAATCAACATTAATACATCCAAATTAGCTGCTGGGGGTTGTGACTGAACTGTTGTCAATACCAGATTTCAGAATGGTGTAATTGCTTTGTTTGAATTAGAAATTAAAAGACCTGTCTACTGGTTTGTCTGTCATATACATGCTAATGAACTGCCTCTACTGCATCTACTTCAAAAACTAGATGGACCAAAATCAGGACCTAACAGATGGTCTGGACCAATCGGAAGAGAAATTACACAGCCTGTCACACAGGCTGAGAGAAATAGTTGAGTTTGTTATTCAAGTTTACTGCCAAATGTGGTTCAATATAAGATATAATCCCTCATGCATGGAAGGTGCTAGACATTTATGGCTAACCATCAATTTATCTAGGTATGCTATTAGTGAAACAAAAAGTATCATCAATCCAGTTATACAAAGGAATGCTTTTTTTGCCCATTCAGAAAACATGCTTCTTGCTATGAAATTGGATACCCATCCAAATGTGAGAAAATTGGCATTACAACAAATAATGAAAGCAAGATAGATGAAAACAAACAAAGTTTGAAAAAAAAAAAAAATTAAGTTAAGTTTATACCATATATCAATTTTGAAGCAAAAGATTATATAGACCTAATTGATTGGAAAAAATGAACTAAATGAACCTCTGATTACAACTCACATTTCAGATGAAAATATAATTGAAATGTTAACAAATGCTTATCTTTTAGATGTGCAGCATTTTCCATACCATACTCAAAAGGTAGAGAGATGCATCAAACTTGTAACCAAAGCTTCAGATCAAGTTTGCGGTTTTGCTAGTAGAGACAACTTCATTTGTGCAAGACTTGCATCGCGAAAAATAATGCTTTTATTACTTAACACAAAAAGACAGTTTGAGACAGATCCAAATAAATCAGATAGTTGAACTTTATTACAGCTAATCTTTAAACATTTTTCAAAAACATTTTCTACTCTATTAAAACTTAAATTGTACTGCAGAGCTTGTTTGCCAGAAACTCATGAAACAGTGTTTTTTGTTACAACTCAGCCCTCTAGCGGCAACTAAAGAATTACCTGTTTTTGTATTTGTACTAAAACTAATAGGAAACATAGGAAACTACTTGTCATAACAAATTTTAAGATGTAAAAAAATTTTTACAATAAGCTACTAGTAACTATAGTAACTAATATAATACTAGTAAATAATGAACTTAATATATTTAATAATTCTGTATCTTGTTGAAATAAATTTATTTGAACACAAAAAAAAAAAGGAAAAATATTTTTTGTAAGTAAACCTATTTAAATTTATTAACTCTGATTGTTTCTTTTTTTGACTATTTATTTGTTTCTTTTGTTGACTATTTATTTGTTTCTTTTGTTGACTATTTATTTGTTTCTTTTGTTGACTATTTATTTGTTTCTTTTATTGACTATTTATTTGTTTCTTTTGTTGACTATTTATTTGCTTCTTTTGTTGACTATTTATTTGTTTCTTTTGTTGACAATTTATTTGTTTCTTTTGTTGACAATTTATTTTAGGCCATTAGAAAGAATAACTAAACTTTAAAAGCAAAACAAATTAACAAAATTATTTTTATTTTTGAAGAAACTTTTAAAATTTTTTTTTTTCAAAAAATATCAAATTGTTTTTTCTACATCTATTAAAACATCTTGTGTTGGTAATTTTATATATATTTGAATTTTTCTTATTGTGTTTTATTTTTTTAACACTATGTTATCCAACTATCAGTAGTTATTTATTTTTTATTATTAAAGATTATATCACTCATTACTTTGTTTGTAAAACTAATTCCCAGTTTTAGATGCTCAGAACAAAGTTTTTAACTTAAATTCAAAAAAACTGTATAGTTTAATTTTTCAAAAGAAACTGAGCAATTGTTTTAAATGGTAATTCCATGTTGTTAATAACATAAAAAGTAAAAACTTGGAAAAGCATCACAATTAAAATTACCCAAATTAGTAGATAATATAGGTGCGAATTCACAAAAATTTCATAAACGTAATTTTGGCGTAAGTTTGGAGTAAGTTCTAAACTTAATAGTTCTCATATTCACAAAACTTGCGCAGTTGCTAAGCACAAAACGATTTCATAAGTTTGATTCTTAAATTACGAAAATTAAGAAAATGCTCAGCTAGACTTAAGCAAGAAAAGTTACGTTAGGTAGGAACTACCTTAACTTTGGCATAACTTTAAAACATTGATTTTTTTTGTTAAAATTTGTGATAAGATTTTTTAAAGTTTGTGATAAACAAGTTATAGTGTATATGATAAACATCATGTATGTAATTGTATATGTCCCTATAGTGTATATCATATACATATATGAGTTATAGTATAAATTATAGTATAATTTATACTATATTTTTTAGGGACATATACTATATGTCCTTCTAAAATATAGTATAAATTATAGTATAATTTATATATACATTATAACTATATTTTTATATAAATTTATATATATACTATAACTTAAAGGGGCATACTCACTATATTCATCACAAATTTTAAAAAATGCAATTTATAATATCAGCTGATGTTATGATTAGTGAATTAGGCTCTTTACTTAGAGGTGGAATTTGAAAAGGATTATGGTTATTATTTGTAATAAGAGGCGTATTGAGAAGAGTTTAAAAATGTTGTCTAAATTCTTGAACGATATCTTTTTTTTTTTTTTGGACGAGCGATTGTGATTTTAAGATGAATTAAAAAAAAAAAAAAAAAGAATCTTCGGTTTTGGTTTTTTCGTTACAAACATTTGTATTTTATGATGCTAAATTTATCATTTTAATATTTTTCGTCTTTTCATAATTCACAGACCTGACCATTTAACTTAAATATGTCGTAGTCAACAAAATATCATACAGACGCTATAATATTTTAAAAGTGCCTTAACTACACCGAGTAAGTACATACTGTAATAAAATGTTGCGTACTATTTAGTCTACATATTTTGACAATTTGTTAGTAATACTAGCTATTTGTTATGTGACAATTTCTAAGTAATACTAATAGTATAAGTATAAAAGATGACAGAAATTTTATTCTAAAAACTTATTTTATTCTATTTGAATAATGTTTTTTTGTGTGTGCCTACAAATAAATAAGCATTAAATTGGTGCTATAAACTTTCAGTCTGAAGGGAGAATAAACATTCCCAATATTAAGTTCAATAAATTTATGTTTATTAAAAGATTAAGTCAATTAGTTTTATGTTTAATAAATACATTTATAATGTATAACTTGAAAAATTAAATTCATAAGAATTTTATTATAAATATTGTCAGACAATTAAGTTTTATCTTACCTTTTTAACTTGAACATAATTCATTGTGTGTGTGTATATATATATATACACACACAAATATATATATATATATATATATATATATATATATATATATATATATATATATATATATATATACATATATATATATATATATATATATATATATTTATATATATATATATATATATTTATATATATATATATATATATATATATATATATATATATATATATATATATATATATATACATGAACACATATATACATATACATATACACATGTATATATATATATATATACATATATATATATACTTTTAAAAAAAAAAAAAATCATTTTTTGGCGCCCCTATAATCTTGGCGCCCAAGATTATAGGGGCGCCAAGATTATAGGG